TGCAGGCTGCACTGAATGGGTTGAAAGGTTGTGGGAACATGTTCTGGCACACCCTTGTGCTGTGGCAAGACACATGATGAGAGGGAAGGGGAGGGAGCATTTCAGTGGGTCTGAGCAAAGGGGAATATACTCTTGTTTCCATATAAACCCTCTTCACTCTTTCACTCAGCATCATTTTGCTTCCTGGAGCAGAAATAATTTCCATTAGTCATTCAGGGTAACACGTTCCTAATGCATATAATGTGGAAATGTCTCAGCAGCAAATCTATGGTCCCATTCAAATGCTGGGAAAAGATTCAGCATGTTACACAATTGAGTATTTGTAAACACAGATGACTTGAGTTTAAGAGGAACTTTTGTCAGATGGAAAATAAGCCAATACAGAATTACAACATGACAACAAATGACCCAAGCAGGGAATCTGCCTGTGGCTCTTAAAGACCCACCACCATTGCAAGAAAGACCCACGGCCCATTGTTGGAGTATTTAGGAGAGCAGGTACGCCAAGGACATTAGGAAAAAGAGACACTTGGTTGGCTACCTGTGGTATATATTAAGAAGCAGCCCATAAAGCCCAGTCATTGTGCCACAGTTAATATCAAGTTAGCCGCCTTGCTGCCAGCCCAGCCAAGGCATGAATACTAATGCTGCCTTCAGCTGCCATAGAAATTGTCTCTTTGCGTAAGAGGAACGAAGACCTTTTGTCCTTAGCTTGCTTGTGCAAGGACTAAGCCAGGAGCTCCAGCTGCATCTGCAATCAGACAGGCTCTCTTTAGCAGCATTGAACTATGTATTATATTTAAAACTTACTCTTCTCTGCCTCCCAGGGAGAAAATGAAAAAGAAGGCTGCACGCACGCCCTTTGGCAGGGGTGGCCCAAGGTGGTGTCCCTGCTGGGTGCACAGCAAGCACACAACAGCACAGCCAGAACATGCTCTTTTGAGCATTTCAGCTGTGTGAGCACAGTAGGGGACCCACAGGCCCTCCCGGAGGAGCCACGGAGCCACACTGGAGACAGAAGATGGTGGGAAGCTGCACAGGCAATGCAGGGCTCTGCTTAGAGCAGTGGAGGTGCAGGGATGCAGGCACAGTCTAAGAGACCCACTGGAGCCGGGAATACAGCGACTGCGGGAAATACCGCCCTGATACCGTGGGCTGCATGCAGTGGGAAAGTGGAGCAGCACAATTTTGTACAAATTGGCAAGTGACAGAAAGGTGAGGAGGGCTCTGCCACCAGGAAGCAGGTGCAGCAGCAGCAGTCCCTCCAGCCTTGGACGGGCAGAAGCACGTCAACAGCCGAACCACCGGTTGTGTGACCCACTGCCAGAGCCTCTCTCCATATCACACTTTCTACCTGATATGGCTGAGGGTGTTGAGACAAGAAAATTAAGAAATTAATTTTCATGCAGAGTATTTTTTCTGCTGCCTTCATGCCTGAGAGTATCCTTGATTTTATGTTATACCACTCCCTCAGCAGTCTCACATCACTTTCCTGAAGATTCGCCTACGTGATGGAGTTACTGTGGAGCTGTTACTTCAGAATAGCTGCTTCTGAACAACTTCATGCAAAACCAGGCTTATTCTGGTTACTCTTAATACTTGGTCAAAACTGACTTCTTTCCAGGAGCGGATTAGGTTAAATCAGAACAGGTGGAAGAAGAACATTCACAAAGAGAAGGATCAGGAACAGCCTTCAAGCTCACAGCCTCTCTTAAACAGAGTGAATTGGAAAACATGGACAACTGTCCCATTGTACAGAGGAAAAAACGAGAGTATAAAGATGTGAGTCTGATAGGAAGGTGCAGCATGGGCCTCCCAAACCCTATTCTTTCTTCTAAGTAAGCAACAACTGGATGAATATTAGTTTCTCCTGCCAGTTGCATGTCTTATGCAATGTAATTGGTTCTTTTATACTTATGGTGATTGCTTTTCCCCTACTAACTTGTGCAAACATCAGCTTTCTCTTTATCACTCCAGTTCTGCATCTTTAAAAATTGTATGTTTACAAACAGCCAATTCCTTATGATGTAATGCTTCCAATTTTCATATAATCCCTTCGTTGTCAACTACCCACAGCAAACCTGTCTACTCAAGCAAACAAGCTCTCATTGCATTTATGTCAGTCACATGTTGTTCTTAAGAATCCAACAGACCTCTTGATCTCACAGTATACACACTGTCACTTCCTCCGTCAGTGAATCCATGAAAATCAGCAGAACAAAAATAACAGTGACACTGAATAATTCAGTAATACACCCTGACAATATTTGCTAAACTTCTGTCAACACAGCCTACCTTGCTGTTGCTAGAGCACACGGTGAAAATGGCTTTACAGTCCAAGGGACTATTATTAGTCTGACTTTTAGATGCTCAACACCTTTTGCAAGAACAGGAATAGAACATTTTATCATAGTGATGTTACAACTAGAGGGATAAAACTCCAACCAAACAAGAGTATAGTGACATTTCATCACAGCTGATAGAAGAATATTCAGCTCTACTAGGTCAGCCTCTTTGCTGCTTGGATTTATGTCCATCTTCTCTGCCACACTCACAAGACACCGTAAGAGCACACTTATGAGGCAACCAGGGAGTTATATAATTTATAACCCAAATGAAACTATTCAGGTATGGTACAGAAGTGGGTGGTTCAAGATACTCTGCTGAACGATTCAGCCATTCCTTAGGCAAGAGTGGAGAAGTCAACCATAAAGCTGAGTCCTTGAGGTGAAGGAAAGACACAAAGCAGCTCATCTAAGTGGAGCTACTGCTGTAGCACCTTAATGTGAAGGAATTAAGCACTTTTTTAGCTGTTTCACGCAAGCTTGAAAAATATTTTGGGTTTTGTATACAGGATCTCCTTAGCCTGTGAAAGAGGATAACAAGAAGCACTTGTCTTATGTTTGGGCTTTCTACAAACTGGATCTAATGTAGTAGAAATATCTTTAACCCAGATCAAAAAGTGGGTAATCTTAGCTAAGGGGTAAAAGGCAGAGCTAAACAAATTCAAGTCAGTCTTTCCACAGTATCTCAACACTAGAATAATTTCTGTATGACTGTAATGTATCTGCAATCACACAAAGCCTTTGAATCAAGACTGAACAACTTTAAAAATAAGAAGTGCTGTACCACAGGCAGAGTTAAAGATACCATATTGAAAAATTAAGACAAGGTATTTGTAATTCATTATACTTAATGCTTTCTGATCTCTTCTTGAGTCTTTGTCTAGTTGCACAAGACTGGAATAATGGGTCTTCCTTTTGTGATCTAGTGGTACTTTTAGTCTCTGGAATTTTTCCATAATGCACAAACTAAGATGGAAAGTTAGTTATTCCCAGCTGAAGAATATATAATTCAGACTGAGGCTTAACAATGAAAGATTATCTTTGATTATAATTTTGCTTTTGCCCTTCTGGGTTCATGCTGCCCTCATAGCAACTGTGCATTATTCTATAAAACAATTGACATCAAATGTTTTTATGTATTTTAAAAGAAATTATGTATGGACTCTTTCATGTTTGCTTTTTCCTCATCCTCGCTTTGCATTGTATTGGGCATTTTGTGTGGTGCAGATGGAGAACACTTTGTTATAGGCAAAGCTGTTCTTTGAAGGACAACACATGGACACCCTAGAATAGTAGGATATATTTTGTTTATTCTAGATTGGGCCATACATAAATCAGAGAGAGGAAAAACTGTGAACTTTAAGGTTCTGTTTTTCTGTGTAGAGAAACAGAAGATGATAATTTCCATTCACTTGGAAAACTTTACATCAGCTTCAGGAGGGAAAGAATGAAATTTGATTGTAATGGACCTGAAGATGAATGCTATTTCCCATTCACTGCCAAAGAAGTATGGGCGATGAAAAACTCTTAATATTTGACCTTCAGAAACCTCTTGAATGCCCAGGTTTAATTTGATTATAAAACATGGAGGTCAGAGTTTCTATAAATCCTTTAGAAGGAAAGAAAAAAGAGGTATAGCTTGCTGACTCAAAACAAGAGCTCAGTTCCTTGAATACTTAGTTAATCAAGCTTCTCAGACAAAGACAGTACTGGTTACCTTGAACCACTTGGCATATGATTTGTATCAGCAATTTTTCTATGATTTTGCAATTTTGATTTTATCACAATAAGATCAAGGCTGTTGGATAGAAAACATGTTTCAATTAATTCTCCTAGACTCTGAACCAGATTGACATTAGCCTAAGAGGAAAAAGGGAAAATGCCTGGTGGTCCATAAAACAAGTTTTTCCGCTAAACGGGTACTATTTGAAAGAAGAAAATCTCACATCCCCACAGAATATAATTCATGCAAGTGGTAACCCCTTAGTGTAAATCATCTCTAGGTAGCTATTAACAAGATATAGGAGATAATGGTTTGGCTGCAGAACATTTCTGGAGAAGAAAAATATTATGAAAGAGTGGAGAAACATGAAATCCTATTGTTGTAGTGTCTGACGACTCTCATGTACTTAAGTAGGTTTCACATCTCCTTATTCTGTAATCTGTTATTTACAAACTGTGTGGCAGAATTCTGCATGAAAAACTTGACTGTAGGCAAAGGAGGTTGTACCCTACACAGTTGCTCTAATAATTAAAATTAAGACAGAACTAAATACCAAACCTACTTATTTTAGGTTATGTTTCTACTACATCCATCTACTTTTACATCTAGAAGTAGGTTAAAGTTAAGTTAGTGGATTTTTTATACTCTTATTTTACCTAAGATATTAAATATATTCAGATAATCACTTTTTAAAAATCCATTTTTCAAGAACTATAAAAAAATGCCTGAAGCATTACATTACCTTTCACAAGATGATGGCTTGTTATTCAGTAAACAAGAAAAAGTTGTTCTGGCCCCTATTTGTACCTGAGTGCTTCTGCTAAAAGATGTAACTTGATAATAACTATTTTTCTTTTTTTAAAAAAGCTCACTACACATTTACATTCAATTTGTAGCTGTAACAGACCTTTCACAAAAGCCATTTTCTCTCAAGTCATTTATTTCCTTTCAAAATACAATCTACCACATATAATACAAACCAGCATATCTCCTGATTGCTTTCAGCTACTACACTATTTAATGTTACTGTAAAGTAGGCATGAAAATTTGAGGTGGAAAACATAAGTTAGTTGGATCACGTTACCTTGAAATACCCCAATTTTCCTGCAGTAAAAAAGAACTTATTAGGGATTCTGAGGTTTTGGCCTGTTTTGAAGTTCATAGGAACTATTACACCAGAATACAGAGTAAATGCTCCAACCTAAGGATCTTTTACTAGCTCCTCTTGGGAAAAGCATGGCTGAAGAGTTAGTGTCATTAACCAGCAGGACAGTGATCTCATTTCAGCATCAGGGATGACTTACAATGGCAAAACATTTAATATTAATATGTAAACCCTCTCAAGCGCTTTCTAAAATGTCAATTGCCCCTCCCCCAATTTCCAAAGCATTATTTTATAACTACTGCATTTTACAACTGTTATGAAGTTATGTTGTAAGCAGTTACAATGCCTTTGCTACAGGTTGAATCTGTAAGAGCTGACCGAGCAATGGGCTGTTACGGGATGCCTATTTAGGATAGATCAAGATCATTTTTCTAACACACCTTGCCAGTATCTTATTTCAGACAAACTATTGGTCTCAACAGCTGTAGTGCTGATGGTTCAAGAGAAAGCTAAGTAGGTAAATACAGTAGTTTCCAGAGGGGGAGAAGAAAGGATATAGCAAGGTGAGTACAGGCATTACATACTTGATTATACTTTGTCTCTTCTTAGACTACAGTCACCATTAGAAGGACATGGGGTGTTTAAAAGTCTTTTAGATTTAATTAACACATTCCTAATTTCCCTGCTGGAAGCAGGTAGTCATTGCAGTACTAGAGGAATAACTAGAAATGCCATTCAACATGAAAAGGCTCAGATCTACCTGCAGTAAGTTTCTCTACACACATTTGAACACTTATCTTTCAGGAGGGTGTAATGATTTACCACTGTTCTTAAGTACAGGCAGTTTCAACAGCAGATTAGTAACATTAACTGACAAGCTATATGTGCCTGTCAACAATAAGCAGCAGAGCTGTTACTGTCTTTGGACTGTAACAGTTACCACGTAAAAAACACTTTATAAAAAAAATACATATCTGAAGTCAGTAAGAGACCATGAGTAAGTACTGTGTAGATTTTACACACTCAGCTGACTTCAACTGTTAACACCTTTAAAAACAGGAAGACTAAAACCTCAAGTCTATGAATATCTGACAACAAGTTGTGTAATCCTGGTGCATCGTTGCTGGTGCTGTTAAATCTGGTCTTGGTACCTCAGTGTCAACATCCATCAGGTGCAACCGCCACATGCTCCTTCATCCTGTGGCTTTCTGTGGAAGTATGTGCAGATCTTCCTCATGGAAACTGAAGTGGTTACAGCCTAGCAAGAAACAGAAACAAAATCCAACACGAAACATTTCTAGGTTAACAGTTCATACCTTGCAGGAGTCTCAAAGTCTCACCTCCATCATTGCTCCAGTTCATTCAGCTTTCCAACTAAGCTAATAAATGAAAGGTTCTTTGCTACAATCCCTCTCACAAGTAAGAAAGAGCTTACTACCTACAGGAAACACTGTCTAAATCCTAGGGTTGTGCTGCTGCCATGAGAAATGCGCTCCAGTTGCAGTTTCAGCTTCCCTACAGCAGATAAGAGAGCTGCAGATATCCAAGATGCATCAAATTCAATGAATGCTGCTGGGTATTCCCAGCACCTCCTCAGGCTATGAGCACGGCACAGAAGCATCCCAAAACCTGAACTAGAGCATACTGGGCAGGAAAGGTAATTATTCTATAGTAATCTCTCTCCAGAGCAAAACTTTCTGTCTCGTGTTTAAACTCATATAGCATAAAGCACAAATAGTTGTAGGTTTCCTATAACCGAGACTTAGTACAGCCACAATATGAAGAGTCCAGCTGCTAGGAGTAACTTAAGGAGTAGTGGCTTACCCATGTCATACCTGATAAAAGTATTGGAAAAGGTGAAGACGGGTAAGAAATGAGATACCAAAATAAGCCTTAACTTCTATTATCAGATATTCAATTGAGAGTACAACTAAAATTTGATGACTGAAAATTTACCTGACATTTACTGAAATTCAACTCAGTCAAAGTCACTGAGATGAGTCAAGTTTGGTCTGTTTTAGAAAAATATAATTGTAATTTCCTAGTTTGCACATTAAAACCTCACGCCAACTTTTTTAGCTGCTTTATAAGCTTAACTTTCATTTCAGATCCTAGGATGTGCTTTGTGCCAGGCTTCCTGCACATCAAAAGCAGGATTATGTAGGTCAAATCCTGTCTTCTCTTGTATAATTCTTTGTTTTATAGTTTTCCATTGAAGAAACTGAAGGCATTATTTAACCCCACAGTTTTAACATGGATAACGAACTCTTTTGCTACCTGAGCTAGAATTTAGCTCTTTCTTCTGCCACTAAAAGTGGCTTTCCAATACCATAAACAGGCAGATGCGACTGTGGACAAAGAAACAGTAGATCTGCCAGGGAAGGTGATGTCATTATTGTGCCTCTCAGAGCAGAGCTGTGTTTAAAATAATGGCGACATCCTTCAAACATCAAGTTGGGGACTGCAAGGATCTTTGAGCTCCTGTGTGCCCTACGTCCCTTTAAAATGAGGGACACCACCATCCTAAAAATTCTGTTTCTGTATGGAGGAGATTTGTAGATAAGCAGCATTAATGTACCTGATTTATTAGGCCAGAAATCACCCCTCTTCTCCATAGTCAAAGGGATCAGATAATTCTTTGAGTGTCCAAGGAGGAGAGAATAAACAGGGGGAGGAGTGACAGCTAGGTATAACTTCTTTCATGACAGTTTGTTGCTGAATGCCCTACTTACAGTTTTTGGTGAAGTGGCCACCGCCACAGACTCCTGTCCTTTGGCAACAGGACTGCAAGATGATGGGGAGCTGTTTGATGTGCTCTGGCTGCCAGGTCTGCCAGTCCGTAGCTTCTCTCCCAGAGCTGACAACCAATTTTTTCTTTCAGGAGAACTGTTCTCTTTATCTACTACCTCCGTGTCTTTCCCACATGGAGATCTGAAAAGATGATGGGAAGTTTGAACACCTGATGGATTAATACGGCTTCCAGTAAAGGAAGGCTCTTTCGGGCTGTGGCTGGAGCCTTCGTGGCCATTACCCAAGTCACTCTGGCTAAGACAGTCTTCATTACGAGCCTTTTGGTCTGGAATCAAGTGACATAAATTCAGCTTGGATTTCTTAGTTGCATGGTCCAGTTCAGTCACACAGCTACAGGCCTGCAGACACTTGTGCCCCACATCATCCTCCTTGCTGCAGTCAAGCCTTCTCTTGGCACGTTTTTCAAACTGCGTGTGTGGTGCTTTAGGAGGGCAGGCAGCTTCTAGGAGACCTTGGGTAACTTCTGCCAGGGCTTTTCTAGGAGAAGGAGCCTTTTTCCCCACTTCTGGAGGAGAAGAGCACGGAGTTCTTGTAATCCAACGTTTAATGGACATTTTGGAGGAAGGGATCACTTTGGGAGAAGCACATGGGCTGGCTTCAGTCTGCTTGGCTGGGGTGGAGGCTGTGGCCATCTGGGATTTGAGAGCAGCCGTCGGAGTGTTTGTTGACAGCGGAAGGTCTCCAGAATAAATGGGAGCACAGGCAGCTGGCCGTGGTGAGGAAATACATGCACTGCCCACTGTGAAGGCCTTGGCAGGAGTACTCTGTGGGCTGGCTGGCTGTCCTGAGAGGGGAGAAATAAGTAATCTGATGAAGAACACAGAACAGTAGATTAAAGACAGCCCTTTTATGAACACCCCTTCCAACTAGGAGGTGAATTCAGTGCTGACCCTGTTCCTCAGACACACTGTTTTGAACTATAAAATTGTATAAATCCCTCTAATTTCAACTAGAGTATAATATCCTATATCATACTGATAAGTACATTTCTGCAATGTTTGACATCTATCCCTTCTGTAAGGAGCACTCTTACATGAGCTACAGACAAAATGAACAAACAAAACAGACTATCCAAGCCTATCTAGCCTTGTTGGAACCCTGCATTGATTTGTCCAGACAGCTCAGTACCGAGGTGCTGCCTGAGAGAAATGTTGGTCCCCACCTGCACTGCCATCCTTAACAGATGCATAACGGAGTTGAGGGACAAAGGTACTGTAAGCAGGTCCTACAGCTAATTACAATACCAAGGAGCCTCACACTATGATGCCCTACTATGTGAATAATGCTCCTAATCAGGTGTTAATAGTTGCATATTCAAAAAATATTAGAAGAATGAGAACTTTCATTTTCTTGTCTTTTTGCTGGAGGATTTTCTGCAATGCTATGTTAGTATGGACATGGTAGTTATTTACCACACCCAGGGAAATCTGAGAAATTCTTCACCTCATGAACAAGGACTTAAATTTCAAAGGAAATCAAATCTGTCACTGTAGTAAGAGTTATTTCTTTAAAACAAATGATTCCCAAACAGATATTTCACAGTGGCTTTTGAGCTCATTAGCCAAGATGTAAACACCCCTGCTTGTAAAAAAGAATTTCTGAACATCTAGCTTCTTAAAACAGTAGTCATAGATGGGGCATACCTCACTAGTAACAATGTGAATCACATAAAGCAAACATCTTGGTCTGCAGGAATATTAGAGGGGATTCTTAAAATTTTTTTTTTTTTTTTTTTTTATTTTCAGACCACTCCAACAGAGAACACATTAGTGGGTTTGTTAGATGCCTGCTTTCTCATTCATCTAACTTGCAGTGAAATTTAACAGGATAGTGCCTTCGTTATTTCATGCACTTCCACTGCTGAGCACGAGAGCACTTAAAATTTCCTGTATACCAGTCTGAACTCCTCATTCTCAGCATTAGCACTGTACTACAAAGCACTTCACTAGAACAATGAGAAGTCTAGTGTGAATAACCTGCCATTTTCTTTACAGTGCTGGGCTGTCTCACAAGTAACATGTTGAGTGATCGACTGATTATATACCATATTAAGCCTCTTTTGATCCTTCCTTTTACTGTATTAAGTGTTATCCAAAATACAAGTAGTGCTGCATCAGAGTAAAATTAAATAGGATCCCATATTATAGGATCCCACTGCAAATAACTTTACCAATCAGAACAGAGTTCAAGGCTCTCCCCCCGCCCATAAAATATGCTACTTTGTAACAACTTTCTTCTGGACTAAGAGAAAGTAACTGCCAAGATTGTTTCTCCTAATCTTTACTTTAATGAGCACTTACAAGACAATAATAACTCAGCTGGCAAATTAGTTGCACTCAAAAATCTAAGCTCCTAGAGGCAGAAGAAAGTAGCAAGCTCAGCAACTCTTGATCCATAATGACCATTACAAATGCATACAGCAGAAATACAGCATGACAAGTTGGATATGAGCATTTTCAATCCCAAACCAGCCTGAAAGCTATACTTTGGGCGTGCTGAATAACGGAAAAAGAGCAACCCTGGGAACTGGATGTGTGTCATGGCAAGAAGCAAGCACAAATTTGAGACAGAGAATACAAAGATCAGGCTTTTCTTTCCCAGACTGTATGCATGATTCAGGCTTCTACGAAGCCAGGTTCAAGCTGTTTCCATTTATGCTGACACTACACATAGTACAATACTGTAAATATCTGCAGTCAACCTGCATCACACTGAAGCAGGTTATTTCAGATATTTCCTACCTTCTCTGCCACAAATCTCCCAGAGTGACATTATCAATCTCCAGATTGTCCATGTACAGGCCTGCTCCAGAAATTTGGGTTCTCAAAACTACAGAGAAAGTAGTACACCTTAGAGAAACCACTGAAGTATTTGCCAAAGAAAAGGAAACTCTGCTTGCTACACTTGACAATATAGGTCAACAGTCAATATCCAGCCTCAGTCTCACAATCTGTTCCACACAAATGGGTGGGGAACTACCTAGATGTATCCCAGCAAGTCTGAAATAGTACTTTGCTTTCCAGCTCTGAATCAGTCTTTGCAGATAACTCCCGTATTCTAACAGCACGTGCTTTGTGTTCAGGAGCCAAGGTCAGCAGGAAGCCTCCTGTTGTGTTCTGCAGTGTCTGTGTTTCCTCTTCCCTCCTGAGTTACTTTAATGCAGCAAGAGCAAGGAGAAATAAGTAATTTTTCTAGTATAACTACTAAAGGTGACTTGTAAAGTTTTAATGTACAACTACTTTATGTTCCATGCTTCTGGACTAGACCTATGCTTACTTCTCTTTTGCTGAAACTAGTACACAAAGGGATTTTTGAGCCCTCTCTGAAACACAGTGTGCACACACAAACCACTTACCAGCTATGGAGCAGACCTGGCACTCTCCCTCCTATTGTCCTGCAAACTTCCTGCTAGACTTGTTACTCACTGGCAAAAGGTTAGAGGTAATGTTATCCCATTAGTGGGATTTAAAGACCTTCAGCCTTTATTTGTGATAGCCAAGCTGAAATCCATTTGGAGGGTGGCTAGAAAACATAGGTGGAATGCAGGAAGTCACACCAGCAGCTGCTGGGAAGCTATTGTATTCTTAGTTTCAGCTACTCTACAGAGAAGTTCATCTTATTTCACTTTGGAGGGAGGGTGGTTATTTTCCTTTCACCTACTCTACTGCAATAAAATGCAGGTTTCAGACAAATCAAAGTAGTATTAAGATCCAGGATGCCATTCTTCTGGCCTAGGGTGCTACCTACTTGCTGACTACTTTCTCTGCAGAGCCCAGATACATTTGCTAGCTGTGGGAGCATGCTGCATAGCTTGTCCGATTGCCTAGGCTTTGTAGAGAGGCACTGCATTTGATCACTAGCCTTAACATGTGGATGGATGAACTGATTAATTATGAAACACTACAATCATATCATGATTGTCTATATGCATTTTTAAGTACTTTTCACCACACAGCATTAGTCTGTATACAGTCAGTACCACTGAGTGAAGTTGAAGAGATACAATACCAGTATCTGCAGCAAAGAAATCTGTGCACAATTCAGCTAGGGGCAGGAGGAAACAGTTTAGAGTTCCAAGGCTGTATGTGTGCTGCCAGGCCTTTACTGGGTAAACTGGAAAAAGCATAGGATCTTACTGCTCTCAGTTATTAACTGATATTTAAAAAAAAAGGTGTGACTTGTTGCTATAGTGACATCTCCTTTGGCTGTTCAATTATTGAACCCTGTTGAAACCCAGAGAAGATCTGGCTGCCTGAGAAACAGTATCAATGAATATTTGCCTTGTGGTCTGGTCATACAGACTTGGCCATACTATTTCACCCAGTTAGTCTTGTTGATGGCAGAAGTATTTACAAGTAGAAGTGTTTGTCTGGTTATATAAATTATTGCCTAATATGAAAAAAAACCCCAAAAGAATAATAAGATAAGCCAAAGGCTTTTGTTGGTACAGAAAGAAGCCATGTTGCAGAACAAGATAGCTCAGGGGCCTTACCTACTCCATGCTGTTCTTCTGTTTTTTTCTGAGTGACCCAGCCTACCAAATTGATTTTTCTGGATGCTGATTTCTCCTCCTCAGGAAGATGTCGTAAGCGCCAAATCCTCACAGTGTTGTCATCAGAGCATGTGGCAATCTATGGTATAAATTGGTTTATATTAACCAGGGCACATCCTATAGGTGACTGGCCAAGTGAACTATAACAGCTGTGTCTGACACACCACGCCAGTATGAATGATGCCGAAGCCTGGTTGAGAGGGCGCAAGACTTGACCACAAAACAAAGAAAATAACCCAGCTCTGTTTCATTACCATACCAGCTAGCAGGATTTGCTTTAAAACAGACAAGACTGCCACATTCACGTCTTTCTGCTAGAGAAATCTCAGTCCCCATCAACAGTTTGCCTCACATGGCTCTGTAACAGACAGCGCTCTGCTCAGGAAGGGACACAGCACAGAATTTTTGAGTTTTGAGTTTTCAATCATTCAGAAGACAAAAGCAGCCATGCTGGTTTTCGCACATGCACCTCGTTCTGTGCCTGTTGCTCAGAACCTCTTCTGCTCGAGGACAAACATTTGCAACTGAGAAGATGACACTGGAAGGCCGTTGCACTGGCCTTAAGCGCTGTCTCTTCCGAGTCCGATGTCAGGAATATCTGGCGGAGAAACCGACTCTGCTAGAAACATCGGTCTAGATTCCTGCCACAGCACCAAGCTCTCCAAAAGGATCTGTGGAATCTCAAACAAAGAAGCAGTGGGGCCAATCTAGCCCACATTTTATGGTTCTCTTCAGACAGATTAGCTGGTGACTCAATGGGGAATCAGTAGAAAGAAAGAGGAAATGCTGTGGTGAAAGTTCACAGTAATCTGAATGGGAAAGTGATTCTACTCTGACCTTTGTCACACCAATGTTGTCCCTACAGAAAGCAACCTTGCCTCTCAAATCACTCCAAGCAGCTTCCTGACCTTCCTTAGCACCACATTTTCCAATCCATGCTTTGGTATCTGAACAATGGCTGACTATTTCTTACCTGTGTGAGTAACGATTTTAAAGGCTGAATTGGTCTGCCTTTCCCACACATCATGATTAGGATGCTCGGTTATCACTAGATCACAGGTTTCACCTAAAATGCCAGTTCTCATATCGCGCATCTTACACAGCTAGAACAATTCCACATTTGCCTGCAGGACTTTCACCCTCCTACACTGGGAAAGTGACTGACTGGATTAATAATAATGGCCAGTCTTCACGAGCGAAGATCCGGGGAAGGTCTTTACACCTTCCAGCCTGCGCATTGGATTTTTTTTTTTTAGGTGAGACACAGTGTGCGCGGAACTGAGCCCACCCTTTAATCCTAAGGATCATCTGCCGGGGCCAAGTGAGCTTGGACGGTGGCAGCGAGGTCCTTAGGACGTAGATGGGTTGACTGGCTTAATACTGTGGGGTGAAAGAAACTCTGGCTACTATTACAGCACTGTCCAGGATTTTTCAGGGTTGTTTCTCATTTTGAGCTAGGCTGAACACTTGAACTGACCTCCTACTGCAGTTGTTTTCCTTTTAGTGATGCCTGGTGCATAATTACTGACCCAATTTCACTGTAGGTTTTTTTGTCATAAAAACAGCTCAGATTTTGAAAAAAGGTCACAATAAAAAGAGTCCATATGTTTTTTTAAAGGGGATTCAAAACTTCTTGCCACTCTGTACAAGACTAGCAGATGTATCAGTGGTCAGAAGGAAAGCAAGATGAAAAAATGGAACAACAAAACAAGCTTTTGGCTGATTAAAGGATTTCAGTTTTGTCTCTTATAGGTAGTATCACAAACTCTCATCAGGAGAGGTCTTCGTTGATTTGCAGTTTCCTAGGACTTTTCAAATAGCTTAAATTATTTGAAAATAATAATAAAACTCTGATACATCGTACTCATATGATAAGCTTGGATTACTGTCCCACAAAGTGAATATTTTTAGAAATTACTGACTAAAAATTTCCTCCCAAACAAACAACTGGTGCTGCAAGTTTGAAAAGCAGATGTTGCCACATCACATGTATTGTTTCATGGGAAAGACCATTTTCCAGGAAACAAACCTTAGTGTAGTCTGAGGGACACCAAGCAATGGAGGTAACTTCTTGAGAGTGACCGAGGAGTATCCGTGGAGGAAGACTGGGCTCAGAAACCTTAAAAATTCCATAGAAAAACAAGTATACAGTCAGAAGGCATGCAGCCTAATATTACATCTCTAAGAAAAGACCTCATAGCCCACCCATGAAGCATGTAAATACTTTCCATCTTCCCTGTATGAAATGCATAAAACAAATGCACTCCAGCTCTTATCATGAGGCAACAACCGATGGAGCCCCAAGAATCAGTTCATGTTTCATTTCTAGAGGTGAAGCAGCTGGTCAGCACTAAGATGTACTGACTTGCCTGGAAACACTAGTTCAATTCCTGCTACACACAGGATTTCTGCCTCCAGAGCTGTCAGCCCAAAACACAACACAAGCATTTTAGGCTATTAAGTACCTGTACTTGTTCTGTGTAAGATGCTTAAATTTTGGGAAGCTCGTAATTTGAATCAGGATAGGCAAATATATTCTACTGCTCTTTTACAAATGTGCCAATCACAGGTCAATGGATTAATAATAAAATGAAAATGCCACCAACAAAATTCTACAGATCAACCTTCACTGGCTTTGCACTGGCATTTGCATGACTGTGCCTCCTGCAACCAAACAGGTGCTCCAGAGATCCTTTTAAGAGTTCATAAAAAAGCTCTCTAAATTTTGCTCATTCAACGTTTCTCATACACTCTTCATAAAAATCTTTCTCCTGTTCTACAGTATTGCTACTTATCTTTGACTACAGCTCCTTTAAGTGACAGATGGAGTTGAAGCCAGCATTAAAGTGGTCCAAAGAAGAAAACAAATGCATACACACACACACAACCCCCCTCCATACACACAGAAATTCTATACAAGTTTTCCTTGCTTTCAGCAGGCAATGCTTTCTGGAGCTATGAGTCACCATCATCGATGTGACATTGTAAGCGGGATTTATCAAGGGATTTGAATAAATGACTAAGTGAATGAACAGATCCTTTACTGTGTGGGCAAAGGAGTAGACATTACATACATACATAGGTTTCAAAGGAAGATGCAAGAAGTCAGGGAAGGTTTTTGAGTTACACACAAGTTTTTCTCTTGTGCATCACCTCCTACAAAAGCCTGGAAAACTGCAGTTGAATATCCAACTTCAGATCTTAGAAGTTGTTCTGATACAAAGAGGTTTATCTTAATAGGACACGTTTTCCCCTGGCATAGTAGAGACAATCACCTCACTAAATAGCCACTAAATGCCTTGGTCAGAGTATTCCCTTCTCTGCCAAAACATGCAATACCATGGAAACTAAATCCCTGCGTAGGGGCAAGCAATAGGATATCTGGGTGCAAAGAACACCTTTGTTTACATTTAATAGCAGTTTTGCTGTACACTCATAACAGACAGTAGCTGTCCAGTAGCCACCGATCACTGAAAGGAAAGCAGAGGAAGACAACTGCTATTTTTGGTATGCATGGTTTTACACTAATAATAATGGCCAGTCTTCGTGAGCGAAGATCCGGGGAAGGTCTTTACACCATCCAGCCTGCGCATTGGATTTTTTTTTTTAGGTGAGACACAGTGTGCGCGGAACTGAGCCCACCCTTTAATCCTAAGGTTCATCTGCCGGGGCCAAGTGAGCTTGGACAGTGGCAGCGAGGTCCTCAGGACGTAGATGGATTGCCTTTTTAAGGGTTAACGAGCTCCATCAGCCCGGGAGTGGCCCTGACCGGGAATCGAACCCGGGCCTCAGCGGTGACAGCGCCTCGCCCTTAACCACTGGACCACCAGGGGCTCCCGGTTTTACACTATACTAGCACAAATTAACCAACTACCCCCATTATATATTATTGTGAACTGAAGAAGGATGCAGAGTTACAGCTGTGTCCAACGTGTTTGGCAGAAGACAGTCGGTCAGTTTGTGCATGTTAAGTCAGGTTTAGCCACAACACATGCTGCTTTTTTTTGTCCGATTTGACAGGATATTGTTGGGGAAGTGAGACCTATTGTGGAAAAGTTAAAAAGAGAAACCAAGGAAATGAGACTTTTTTTAGTTACTCTGCTCACTGAGACAGCTGTTAAATCCATCTTCAAGATTCAGCATAAAATGGTGTATCTAGTTTTATGCAACATATGATACAGAAGCACGTACATTCCAGTTCTGGGACAGACCAAAGCATAACTTGATATGGTTACCTTGGAGTGATCCCTACCAAAGGATTGAAAGAGCAATGGAAGTACACCCCTATAAATGGTATTGTCTTATTACCAGGAAGGTATCTCAGCTAGGTACCATCTTTGTGGAGAAAAAGCTCTGCTCTTTGCTTTTAAAATCTTATGATTGTTCAAGAGCCAGGTCATTAATCAATGAACTTGTAATTTTAAAAAACCAAACTCAACGCAATAAAGCAAGTGTTCATTGCCTGCAAGTGATTTATATATGAAAACAGACTGAAATACCATCCTCGTCAGCAATAACTTCTAGCCACAGTGTTCTTTCTGAATTGCTCACCCAAACACAAACTTAGCACTGCTGCAAAAGTTATTCAAAGAAATAATTTGAGTGGACAAGGTCTCTACCCTTCATTCCTCTCTAGATCTGGACAGCTATTCCTCTTCATTAAGTCCCTTCTAACATTAGAAGGGATGTTAAATGGTTAACATCCAATTACCTGTTTCTCACATGGCTATGAGATTAAAATAAAAGTAATCATCTGATGATTAATTTTATAAATATGCAATATGATCTGTCACTCATATGTGACAGCAACAGAAGCCTTCTGTACATGAATGCATTTTAAATGTGCTTAAATGCTTAAATTTTGAGATGTAATGACATCCTTGAATACTCTTAACTGAGTCCCAACCTGTGTTATAAGAAAGTATCAAAACTCCCAAATGCAGAATGTGCAACTCAAGTTTGCACAAGCATTTTTGCACAAGACCATGAGGAAGGTTAAAATTACACCACTTGGCATAGGAATATAGTCATGCTACCACACTCCTGCCCCTACTGAGTAAGCTCCTTACAAGTGTTCTTCAAATCAAAGAGCCAATATACTCAAACTGCAACCTCAGCAGGCTAACCCTCTGCTCTGCAAGATTTCTGTTTCACTTTCAAACTCATTGTAAAATGGGTAAACAAGTCAACATGCCCTAAAAATTACCCCAAACCTGAAATAGGCTGTGGTTTCCGTCTATTCTACTTCTATAAGTCTACTCTGTTCCCATATGGGTGGCAAGTATGGAGAACAGAACTCAAAGCATGCCTTATTCTGAGGTCCCTGCTATTATCTTGGTGACATTTGCCTTTCCTACACGTCAGTGTAAGATGTCAAGTGACGAAGCCTCTCAGCTGTCAGACAGTGCCTGGGAATTTTGCTGAAGGCTCTGGCTGAGCACTTGTAATTCGAAGGCTTTAACTACTGTAAATTAAGCATAAGAAAAAGCTATGTCTGAAGCAAGAGCTGGAAATAGGGGAGGTGGGGGAAAAAGTGCCCTTTAAAACAATTAAACTTTTAGGTTTCTGCTAATGAGTTCCATTGCTAAATATGAAGTGAGAACTGTCTGTCTACTTGTCATAGCTGGCTGTATCAACGGGACTGAAAGAGGATTTTAATGCCTATTAAAACAGATTAAGAACAGCAACTTGCAGTAAGCAGTAGCAGTGAGAGATGTACTGATGTCAAGAGGCTACCTCTGTTTTAAATTAAACAGTTACATTGAGCTTTGACAGCAACATACACACTCTGGGCACAGTGTGCCAGGGCTAACCCCACACTACTTTGAGGATGATTGTGAGGCAAGGAGTGGCCTCCGTGAATATGAATAGAAAAGCAGCTCCAAGCTGCATGCTTGGGTCTCACCCAATTGCCTCACCTTCCAGATGTACGCGTTGCAGTCACTCGAACCACTGACCAGGAACTGGTCGTCGGGGCTGGTGCTGGATTTGATGTAAAAGGTTGAATTTTGGTGCCCACTGAAAACAGCCACTGTGAAGAGAAAATTAATAAAAACATGAATAAAAGCCCTACTCAATGCACAGCCCTGGAGTCAGTTGCACGAAGAGTGCTGATCTTACAGGCTTTTCCTGCCTAGCCACAAATCCTTTGGAGAAAGTGGTTGCATTGCTCCCTTGCTCTGGGGCTCCTGTGGCAGGAAGTTTTTATTATTCTGCTGGAACCCTTCAGGCTTCCCAAACAAAGCAGCGGCAATTTAATTAAAGCTTTAGCTTGACCTGGATCACTAGCAGACTCAGACATCACTTGGGCTATTCCACTACTCTGGTTCAGGACTCTTGTCTCTTCCTCCCTCAGCCACCTTCACCAGTCCTGTTACATCAACAAGGGCAGTCACACAGCAAGAGACTTCTTTCATCCAGGTGGCAAATGGCTGACATTCCCCTTACTGGGAGGACCTTCAGAGGCGGCAGCTGGCACAAGACCCTAGGGTGGGTCTAGAACACTTGGCCGCACCATGTCCTGTCCTCTCATCGGGGCAGGAAGGGTGAGTTTCCCACTGTAGCACCAGGTGGGGCTGGCACTCCCTCCTCCAGCCTTCAGTAGTAGTTCTCACAAAGGAGACAACCCACAGACTAGAGGACATGCGGCTGCCTTTGGCAGTCTTTGAAAAGTTGTGAGTCCCCAAAATATCCTTTAATTTTTTTGCCCACAGATCTTTCAGTGCAGCCATTACCAGACAGCAAATCCTTTCCTAAACCAGGCAGCAAGTGCTGTTACAGTGAGGATTTTCTGACGTCCCCCTCTGCAAACTAAAGCTGCCTCAGTAGGGGATAAGAGCAGCTGGAATCGCGATTAAAGCTGGCGAGGGCAGAGAGAAGCACAACCCGTGGGCAGGTGCTGCCCTCTGTGGGAACCACTGCACACCAAGAGGCTGCACATGTTCCATCCAGTTGGATGAACGGATTGCTCTCCAGGTTTATCGGCTGCACACAGAAGGTAAGAGCTCTGTGAGGAGGCCGAGGGGTGCTTTGGTGAGAGCCTGCTCCCATGAGGGGACAAGCCAGTGAGCCCATTTCCACAGCTCAGTGGTGGCTCCCAGGGTTAACCTCAACAACCAAGCTATTAATATTTGCTAGCTGTACCACTTCTCCACTCTGGAAGCATTCTCACCCACCAGACTGCCTTCCTGAAAAGCAGACAGAAGGATACACTGTTCATTTAATTTCAGATAACTGAGAGACTGAGAAAAGGCAATGGAAAATACGTCATGTGTCTGGCTGGAATGCATCTAACAAGTTTTGCTACTTTCCGAAAAGCAACCACTGGCCTATGACAAAGCAGCTTAGTGTATCAAAGGCTGTGGGCAATCTTGTGAACATAAAGGCCACAGCTGCAGAGCTGAAGGAGTCTAAAAAGCTGAAGCATCTCGATATGCTGGGGATCCTTTCTCCCTGAAACGGAGGTAAAAGTTAAAATTTAAAAGACACCTTAAAATATCCAAATATGATACATCAGGTGATCATTTTATGTAGATTCATATCTATCTTCAGTCTCTGTCTGGGTGAACCAGTACCTGCACTCATAAAAGTTTTGGTGCTATTAATTTTGTGTGGATGGCTTAACACAAAATATGAATCTCTCTCATGTAGCTTTAGAGATTAGAGTATGGAATAGGTTTCCTAAGTGTTGAACCTGGTCTCTGTCTCTCCAAGTCAGAGGGAGCAACTTGCCCTTCTATGCTCTATAATATCTATTTTTTTGCACCTTTTTCCACAGATACACTTACCTGGAGTAGTCCTTAAACTTGCCATACTGAACATGTAGATACTGTCATCAGTGCAGTTAGCAAACAGATTAGTACCAGTGGAATCCAAAACCAGGCTAGAATATCCTATAGACAAAGAGAGAAGTCCTTTGTAAGAAAAAAATATTTGGAATACAGGAATTCTCAAAGAAATGCCCGGAGAGTGAAATTTGGAAAGGATTTCTAACGTGTATGAGATTGTCACTGGAAAGCATGTATGTTTGACAGAGAACTTGCAGAAGAATGAAAGTTTCTAGAATAACATCTACATATTCTCATTACGATTCAAGGTGGCATTTGGAAAGAAATCACACCTTCAGAGCAGGCAAGTGATTTATGTGATGGTTTCAAAGAGATAACAGGAACAACCAATTGTAGAAGCAGAGATCGAAAATAAATGGAAACCTTTGTGTTTTGATAGAATAAGCTATCTTCTGATTAGCTAGTGATTCGGGTTCAAGAAAAATCTTTCCCTGCAGGCAAACTATTTCACAACCAGCTCTTCAAGGATTTCCCTCATGTTCTCGGGACTGACACTGACCATTACCACATCAAGACAGTTGGCTGGACAAGTCATCAGGAATTACTGTGTTGCATCAGAGCCTTGTAAGGCACTAAAGATACAAAGAAGACACAGAAACATGTACAAGTATGCTATTCTTTTTGATAACAAACAGCTTCAAGAATAGTTTAACTCTGGATGGTGATAATGTAAAAACTCACTCCAGTCTGTTGTCTTTGTAAGACACAACCCAAAGGAAGCAGTTCAACCTAAATTTGACTCATGTTCCTCATCCAGACCTCTACTGTTCCCTTATCTCCATTTATGAAAATGCACTGCTGAAGCCTTTGCAAGTTTTTATCATTGGTGCAATTATACAAAAGTGGGGCACTTAAACTTGAAAATTTGGTATTGGTAATCAAAATACTCTGCAGAGTTTGCCAGTCTGATCAATAATTGGCTTAAAAGATAAGAGGTGTCACCGTCAGTACTTCTTAAATTCACTTTGCACTTTAACAAATGAATCTCCAATCACTTACCAAGTTTGCGAGTACTGGTTCCAGGGTAGCAAAAAGACTTGCAGGGCAGCGGGTCCTGACGATAAGCAGTATAGTTCTTGCGCAAGTCCCATACCTTGATCACACTGAAATAGAAAAGCACGAGTGTCTTCAACTTCAAAATTTCTCTTGCAATGCTCACTGGGCCTTCTAAGAGCACAGGAAGTCGGGCTGCTCATTATTGAGGAGTGTCCAGTGCTAAGGAGACAAGAACTGAGCAGAAGCAGAGCAGAGATGTGCTGAAAGCAAAACAAATGCTCTGCTGGATACGGACAAGGAGGTAGCGCTGCCTTCTGTAACTAACACAGGATAAAACTAGAGCCTGCAAGCCAGCTTTCTTCAACTGGTAAAAGGTAATACAAGGATGCTTCTGACATTTGTGAGAAGTAGTTTTAGACTGTAGTTTTAAAATTAAGGCTTTCCTTTCTTTTTTTCCCCTTTCTCTTTGTGACCAAGCCTCTGTAATGAGCAAAAAAGTCAATGTTATCTCCCTCAGAAAGGCTCTGACCACATGGAACCTGCTAAAGAATTGAATCTGAGAGGGTAATTCCCGTGCTAATCAATGAGATGTTGCCCCAAGATGTTGCAATGGATCTGGCACCTAAAAGAATGCACCTTTTGTAACTCAAGGCAACATTTTCTCAAGCACGCCTACACATATCCATGCACCAACCACCCACTCACATCCCAAAACAGCTGTCTAACAATAGTCTGTCTATGTGTGGTCCCATAAGTCCATGAGAATAGAGAAAGAGAGAGAAGAATTGCTCTCATTCTGCCTCATACCCAGTACACCGAAATGAGCATTTACCATATATGCACAGTTTGTCCAGTGTTGCAATGTCCAGTAAGGAAGCAAAGCAGCATTCAGCTTTGCCAATGCAAACAGACAGCAGAGCTGTTGATTCCACCTAACAATAACTTGAGCCTTGTGTACCACTGAGTGATCTTAAGAAAAAAAACTCCTAATCTTTTAATGTCACTAAGAAGAGCACACGGAAAAGGAGGCATCCTCCCTCCTTACCCATCAACAGCTCCTGCAGAGATAAGAGTATGCTCGTCCTGAAGCAGCACCACAGTTACGCTCTGCTGGAAATCCTTAAAAAGGAAAGAAAAAAGAACTTTTTCTTTTAAGGTCAGCAAGATCTTGCTGCTGAGTTCAAGGCCAAGTGAGTACTGAGAAAACCTCCTCCTCCTAGCCAATCAGGAGAACCTGGAAATACCACATGACATTTAAGACACAATTCTTCAAACACTCCCACCAGTGAAATTGCCACTGAGCAGTGAATGTCTGGGCAGCAATTTGAGGTTATACCTTTCAGGTCAGAGGTAAGAGAGCTGCCTTTATCACGAAGTTTAATAGATTAAATATTATCAGGTCTTACTCCAATAAGGCAGTAATTTGTCGAGTCACATTAGCAGGGGGGAGAAACACAGAGAAAAAAAAAAAAAATATTACAACCCTCCCCATTTCCCCCCTTCAAAATGCTGGCCACTGCTTTCCTCTCTGGGAAGAAAAGATGTATTTTCACATAACATTTGCACAAAATTGGCTTTGAAGGCACGTGTGTTGTTAGATAACTAAACGAAGTCTAAAATTAGCCATAGCAAGTGACCATGACACAAAAACCTACTTCTGCAAAGATAAATGGAAGCATTTACCACATACAAGCTACACATTTCTCACTATGTTTACTTAGGAAGATCTCTATGCATAACACTGTCCCCAGAGGAGAGGCTTACATTTTGTTTGTTCTCCAGATACCTACCACCAAGGGAGCAAGTCCTCTTAAGTTCTGCCTCTTCTTCTTAGGTTTGGAAGGAGTCTGCTTGTCAACCACATTGTGTGCACCACTGATTTGCTTCACCTGCCTGTAAAATCCATCTGAAAGAAATCAAAGGCATCTCAAGTAATAGTTTCCATGCAATTTCCCTATCACTTCAATAAAACAGGCATCAGCTTGGAATTAGTCCTAAGAGGTGGCAAGGCTAACCTTTAAAATCATTCATGTATTCTGAAAACAAAAATTGTTAGTTATATATGAGACCGGTGAGAACACAGTAAGAACCAGGAACATATAATGCAAAAAACTACAGAGGTCAGTGTAGCATGGACATTGAAACTAAAACTGATCTGAGCAGGCTGCCTTTAGAAATCATTACCCCTTAGTCTGGTTTTCAGTATGCATCCTGGTCTGGAGCATTCAACTCATCCCAAGCAGAATTGTGCTTACAGTGCTTTTCCACTCTATTTTATAATTTTCTGTTTAGCCTTTTGTCCACTACTTTTCACTTTATGAAACTTACTGCTTTACTAGAGTAACACAACTTTCTTACTTTTTTTTCCCTACATGTTCCACTTCAATCATGTGGAGTCTCTCTTTTCCCCCACTTGTCTGTTTGAAGAGCCAGGAAAACCTGGGACAGATGGAAGACCAAGACATGTTCTGGTAGTGCAGGCAAGGAAGCTGCTCTGACAGACCAGAAAACTGGGAAAAAACATAAGGGCGTGACCTGACCGGGGAAGGAGAAGCTCCAGGAAACAGAAAGAGAGGAGCAGAGTGAGCTCACCCTTGCATTTACGGTAGGTCTTCCCACAGTATATTCAGTTACTGCCAGCACTCACAAGCTCCTTTGCTTCTGCACTTCCTGCCTTCTTTCCCTCTCTGGCAGAGAGAGGGAAAGCTTTTCTTCATCCCTCCAGATGGCTCTGACTGATGCAGTCTCTCCCAGCTCATCTGTTTTTTGTGCTGTCCTTACTGGGATGTATTCTGTACCCCCTTATCTCCTTACCAACACACAGGGTATTATCAAGCCAGCATACGTATCACGCCGCAAACCTGAGACTATTACAAAGCAGAAAAATGCATTATACATAGAAGAGATACCTATTCCATCTCTTTATGATACTAAAGCAGTAGTTATGCGACAATCCTCCCCTTTTACTAATTTTTTTTGCCTATATTTTAATAAAAAACATTAGTCCAAGAAGTAAATCTGAGCAGTACTTTTACATGAGAGGCTTTTTTCATACATATCTGAAAGTTCATTTACCTTTCTTGTTGCATCTGGTATCCCAAACCATGATGTTTCCATCTCTGCCTCCAGTACAGAACACAGCTGAGAGGGGAAAAAAAAAAGAGTGCTATTAGCTTCCAAAAATGTTAATTAACTGAATGCAGTAAAATGCCATCTATGCACTCTGGCTCTTCTGCCTCAACACTTGGGATACCAGTCCTAGAAATACAAAAACCAGGCCATTGTTTTACCATGCTTTTTCACTAGTTTCCTCACTTTTTCTATTACTTTTTTTTTTTTTACTACTACTCAAGAAAAATCCCCTTATGAAAAGCACGTTCACACACTTATGTAGGGAAGCAGATATTCTATCTCAACTTTGCCCAAGATCAGAGAAGTGCAGACATTAGTATCATGACACCATCAAGTTCCAGCAAGTTAGTTCTGCTTCTCTGGCTGGGTCCCTCCTCAGTCGGCCTGCGATATTTGTACCCATCCGTTTCCAAAGCCCTTTTTTAGCCCTTAAAGTACTTTGCCAGAGAGAAAGAGGAATAAACAGGGAATATCAACATTTACCTTTCTCAAATCTAGAAAAAGCAACTGACTTGAGGCTACACTGGTGACCTTTGCATATGCCAAGAAGCTCACCAGCTCTCACATCCCACACCTTGGCTGTCTGATCTCCTGAAGCAGTGACCTTCAGAGAGAAAAATAAAAAGTTCTAGTCATTTTCTGTACACAGTTGCCAAAGTATTAAAAATAAAGTTAGAAGGCAAAAGACTGCTTACAATCCTGTGTTCTCCTGGTACCCAGGCAAGGTCAAATACAGCGTTTGAGTGAGCCTGCCATTCTAACAAGAAAACAAAAGCCAAGATTAGTTTTGTGCATTGCAGCACAATATTTTGCAGAAGACTAAAGGACATCAGACATTGAAATCAGAAATCTTATCAACAGCTTGCTTAGGAACGAAAAACAACATAGAACAATTCACCTACTATTGCTGTTTTAATAGCACATTCATGCTCCTGCTTTGTTAAGAAGACTCAACAAAGTATGTGAAAGGATTTAAGTACTACCCACATTTATGTTTTAACGACTTGCAAAAAGCTTACTTTGATTCCAGTAAATCCCATACTCGTTACATCAAATAAAGATCACCTTCTACTCAACATTTACCTTTAAAGATGAGTTTGCTGCTAGTTTGAGTTTCAGTATCATAGAGTCTAACAAATCCCTCTTCATTTGCAACTGCCAGTACATGCTCCCAATTCGGAGCTGAAAAGAAATTGAAACATAATATAGTATGTACCTAATTCACACTCAAGCCCCTGTTCTTTGTAAAAGGACACAGACTCTTCAAACAGAGTACACAGAAAATAGCTGTAAAATAAACAGAATTTACGAAGCAACTTCAATGTTCAAAATGCAGAAATATTGGCAAGCATTTTTTCTAGATGTTCCATTCAGGACTAACTCTACATGGGCAATCAAATGGCTCCAGGAACAACTTTTGAGAGAACACCCTCTTTCACCAGCTACAATCGCTATCTAGTTACAGTTTTCTGCGTCTATACTATATATCACCTACGGCCTCCAGTAGTTTTCATGATCTGAGTTGGAAAAGCAGGAAGCTGCCTTGGAGAAAAGTAAAAGCTCACGCTGAAACTAGAGTACTATGAATGAAAGAGTTTTGACCCAAAAAATCCAGGAGCTTCCATGCTTACTCCACTCGGTATGTGCTCACCATGGAGAAATGCTGTGTGACAGCCTGGTGACATGCATCCACCTCTTTGATTTCTACAGACTGTTCTCCATCCTGTTACATCTTTTATATATTTTGAATACAGCCCAGTTTTTCACCTATGTAGTCTCGCACTGTCACCAAGAGGACAGACATACCTTGAAACAGACACAGCTGAAACAAAGACGTATTAAAATAAATGCTTTGTAGCTGCTTCTTCAAGGGAATACTTTCCACCAGTATAACTAGGAGCATCACGATCCAATGTATATCACATCTAGGAGCAAGTACACTGATACCAACTCGCTTTAAAACAAGGAAAGTCTGAAAACAAATCGTGAGACAGATTCAAACAGGAACAAAAAAAGCTGACAGAAGTGCCGGCGCCTTGCCCCCCCCCCCCCAAAAGGGCTTTCAGAAGGTGACTTTACCTGTAGAAAAGGTGCAGCCGAAAGGAGGGACCGGCATCCCCGTTTCCCCGTAAGACAGGTGGTCATCCTCCCGGCTGCACTGGTAGCCATCCAAGAGATGCTGCAGGGGAAGCGGCGGAGAACGACCTGCAACGGGACAGACGGACCGTAAGCGCCCCAGACGCGGCGGGCTCGGGCGGCAGGAGCGCCGTAGTCGCCGCAGGGGCTGTGGAGGAGCGGGGGCAGGCCGGGATGAGGAGCGGCGGTGCCGCGGTACCCACGCTCTGTGGCTGTGGCGGTGACGGCGCGGCGGAGCAGCGCGCGGCACAGCATGGCCGCGCGGACACGGTCGGCGCGCGCCAACGCAACTCCCGCCAAAACGACCGGCCCGACAAGCCCGCGACTCGCCCTCATTGGCCGGCGAGGAGCGCGCGGCGCCCCGCCCCCCTCCTCTGGTTGGGCGGTGCTGGGTGGGGGGCGGGGCCTCGGGGCCACACCCACCATCCGTTCCCGCGGCAGAGGCGAGCGGGGGCGGGCGCGCGCCTGCGCGGGAGCGGCCCCGCCGGCGGGAGCGCGACTGCGCGTGCGCGGGGTAGGTGGTGAGGGGCAGGAATGGCGTCCAGCGCCAAGTCGTTCCTGGCGGACGCGGGCTATGGCGAGCAGGAGCTGGACGCCAACTCCGCGCTCATGGAGCTCGACAAAGGTGAGGCCGCGCCGCCTCGGGGTTGTCGCAGGGCCGGGGAGGGAGCTTGGCTTTGTGCCGCTGTATCCACAGCGCGGGCGCAGGGAGGATCTGGGTCCGGAGGTATCTGCGGTAATTCCTGTGCTCTCGCTTAGGCCTCAGGTCTGGCAAACTGGGGGAGCAGTGCGAAGCCGTCGTTCGTTTTCCCAGGCTCTTCCAGAAGTATCCGTTCCCCATTCTCATCAATTCGGCGTTCTTAAAGCTGGCTGATGTCTTCAGAGTGGGGTGAGTGCCATCGGTCAGCTTCTCTCCATTCAAACCTCCGGTCCGTAGGACTCGCTCTTGTGGACGGGTTGTGCTCGATCGAAGTTTGCTTTCCCCATCTTTAGTGGGTTTAAGTGGCTGTGAGTGATCAGTGACAGAGTTCCTTTTCGTCTGTCCTGATTTGAGGATTCTCTTCCTGACTGATTTAAGTTCACCTGTGTAAGGTCTGCTTCACAGGCACATTCAAATTCATAATTCATAAACAGATGAATATGTGCAAACTTTGTCTCTGAGTCATGTAATGTTAATAACAAAGCTCAAAGTATAACTTTTCCAAATGCCTGCTGTCTAAGTGATGTGTCTAATTGAATTGGAGCTACTTTGGAATAACTTACAAAGTTAAGTGTTGATGTTGTGGAATCTTCACTTTGGCTCCAAGGAGGGAAAGAAATTTACTCACGCCTGACAGTGGCAATTAGGTTCTCTTACCTTAGTCCTGGATGTGTTTTTCTAGAAGAATTGGATCCCTAAGTGTGCACAAAATAAGCGTTTGCTTATACCCCTCCTCACTGATTGCCAGCTGGTTCATTTCCCTGGAATTTGACCTAAATCTGACACTACTAGAACAAGAAAATAAAACAATAGTGTAGTCCCTTTTCTATTACATCAGTCTACTCAAACATTTTTAAAGCGTAGACATTTCCTTGTTTTAATTTTCTTTCAGAAGTTGTTTTAAAATAATTTAGTGCTTAAAATGCCTGAATTTTTCTTACAAAATAGCCTGACAAAGAAATTTGTGTATTTTCTAATAGGAACAACTTCCTGAGGCTGTGTGTGCTGAAAGTTACTCAACAGAGTGAGAAGCACTTAGAGAAGATCCTAAATGTGGATGAATTTGTCAAAAGAGTTTTCTCAGTAATTCATAGCAATGACCCAGTTGCTCGGGCTATTACACTCCGGTATGTATTACATAAATGATCCTAATTTACTTCATATCTGTAGCTAATTATCAGTGTCCTGGCCTGGAACAACAAGGCCAAGTGCAAGGTGCTGCACCTGGGTCGGGGCAACCCCTGGAATCAACACAGGCTAGGGGAGGAAAGGGATGAGAGCAGGCCTGCTGAGAAGGACTTGGGGGTGCTGCTGGATGAGAGGCTGGACATGACCCAGCAATGTGCACCCACAGCTCAGAAGGCCAGTCGTGTCCTGGGCTGCATCTAAAGAAGTGTGTGCAGCAGAGTGAGGGAGGGGAAGCTGCCCCTCTGCTCCACTCTGGTGAGACTGCACTTAGAGCACTGCTCTACATCCAGCTCTGGGTTCCCCAGCACAGGAAGGACATAGACCTGTTGGAGAAAGTCCAGAGGAGGCCACCAAGATGATTAGAGGGATGGAGCACCTCTCCTATGAGGAAAGGCTGAGAGAATTGGGGTTGTTCAGCCTGGAGAAGAGGAGGCTTTGAAATGACATATTTGCAGCCTTCTGCTGTCTGAAGAGAAACTACAAGACAGATGGAGCGGGACTTTTCACGAGGGCATGTAGTGATAGAACAAGGAGGAATGACTTCAAACTGAAAGAGAGTAGATTTAGATTAGATATTAGGAAGAAATTCTTTTCTGTTGGTGCCTCCAGTGAGACACTGGAACAGGGTGCCCAGAGAAGCTGTGGATGCCCCATCCCTGGAAGTGTTCAGGACCAGGTTGGATGGGGCTTTGAGCAAGTGGGTCTAGTGGAAGGTTTTCCTGCTCATGGCAGGTGTGATGGAATCAGTTGATCTTTAAGATCACTTCCAACCCAAACTGTTCTATGATTCTATGAATGAAATATGAAAGTCTTTTTATACGTTGCTCATGGAGTTAAAAACAAAGACATCTGTCTTTAAAGGGGGTGAATGATAAAGATCTGTGATCAGAACAAGGTAATTAATCATTAAAGATAGTGCAAATTTTGTGGATGGCTCCAGGTAAAACAGAATTTGCAGTGCTGAAATTTTGTGTACTCAGGAGAAGAAAACTGAACCTTGTTGTATGCATAACCCAGACAGTAGCCATATGCAATATATATTGCCTATGATATAGTTAGACCAGGACCAAAAGGAAGGTGCTTCCTTACATGTCAAAATAATTGTTGTTAACTTGTAACCAAAAGCTTATGCAAACCTTGTTATGCTTGCACCTCTTTTTCATTCATCATTACCCTAGAAGTTTACTGCTTGTTGCTCTCTGATCAAAAACTTCTAAGGAAGTGCTGTTGTATTGTTGATTGCTTTGGACTTCCTAGGAATCCAATGGGAAAACAAATAAAATAAACCTGTCTTTAATGTCATTCTCTTTCTGCTTTGGTGTCTGTGTCTCCAGCATTGTCCAACATCATCATCTTAACTGCATCTTCCAACCCCTATGCAAGTGAATGTGAAGAGCACTTTTCTTTTTCCCTTTATATTCTTTTTTTCCTCTCCATTTAGAACTGTTACTGATTTCACTCTTGAAAGATGGGAGGCATTAATGGGTTTGATTGATTAACTTGTATGTCCACTTCTTTTTTCTTTTGATATTTCATTTGAGATTATGCTTTCATGCTCTGGTCACAGAAATCTTTAAATACAATGGGACTACGTGTTTTCTTGTAGTTCCCTATCGTATTCTAACATACATTTACAGTTGTTGACTGGCACAGAGTTAGCAGACTGCTAGAAGTCTCAGGAATCCACTCAGTTTGAAAAAATACTTAAATTACTAATAAATTCACAGGGTGCATCAAGTGAAATGTTAAAATGGCTGTTGGTTCAGCAGTTTAAGATTAAAATCTTCTACTGATTTGGTTTTGTCCTCCATGAATAGTGTCAGTAAGAGAGAATATGTAGAAAGAAAGATCTGCTAAAACAAAACTTGGTGGAATTTTATTGCTAGATAACTGTTTGTAAATATTTGCACAGAACTCTTGCTAAAATTACCTTCCGTGTTACCATTCTGCATTCCTTCTTTTGCTATGCTAAATATATCTGAAGGGTACCTTCATAGCAAAGTATAAATTGACTTGCAACTTTGTTAGCAGTTACACAAAAGGTATTGCACTGTTCCTACTAATAACCTTATCCCACATCAGTGAAAGATCTTAGAACAAATTATGAAAGACACTTGATTACTTGATCATAGTAACTACTCAAGAAACTTCTTTCATAGCATGTGGTTAAACTTTATGACAGTTCAGACATTTGTCACTTATTTCCTTCTGCAGTCTTAATTAGGAAGAGGGATAGAAAGAGTAGGAACTAAATTAGTAGTTTTCTATTTTTATATCCCCCTAGACTATCACATTTTTTAATTTATATCTCATGGTGTTCTTCATGTGTGTCTGAAAATAGCCATCAGTACATTTTAGTGTTAAATCTGTTGTATTAATATCAGAGCTCGAATGTAAAAGCATCTTAAAAATGCTAATTCCTGGTACCATAGTGCACTCTTAATTTTAAAAGAATTTTTGGTGTACAATTTCAAGCTAAGAGGTATCATAATTAAGTTTTTATCAAACCACTGACATAACCCATGTGACAGAATTTGTTACCTTTTAGTTATATGTCTACTTTTAGCATTTGCTTGTTTCTGTAATAGACAGGGAAGGGCACATACTTATAGAAAAAACAGTATTTTAACCAGTCATTTTACATTCCTACTTGGTTTCATCTTACATTTTTTCTGGGATCATTGTTCTTCCTGATTTTTACGTGATTTATTTCTGTAGGATGTTGGGCAGCATGGCATCTATTATTCCAGAAAGGAAGAATGCACATCATAGTATTCGTCAGAGTTTGGATTCCCATGATAATGTGGAAGTGGAAGCTGCTATATTTGCTGCTGCCAACTTTTCTGCACAATCTAAGTAAGATTTTTTTCAATTCCATTAAATAGAAATTTAATGATAGTGATATCAATATCATTTATAGCAAAACATTTAATTATGTGCAATAATAGTATTGTAGAGAAACCTGAATACAAGTTTTTAACGTTATTTTTTTTTTTTGAAAATGGAAAGCTCATAAATATGAGAATTCAAAGTGCAATAGGAGCTTTAATCAAGGATTATTTTAAAGAAATTATATTAGGGTGCAAAATGTAGTGCTGCTTGTCATTTTGGCACTTTTTTTGAAAGCTTCCATTTTATCATTTGATCTTGCCCTTGTGCAGAGATTCTGAAAAGACCTTGGTCTTGGCAGGCACTTTTTTGGGAAAGTTTTTATTGTTAAAACACCATGTTTGGTAGTTCAGTTGATTTTTTTTTTTAGATCTAATTTCTAAATTTTTCATTACTTAATTTTTTTTGTTTTCATTTCATCTGGTACTTTCTTTTCTCTGCAGGGATTTTGCTGTCGGAATATGTAATAAAATCAGTGAGATGATTCAAGGTACGTGTGTATATTGAATGATAAAAGGGAAAAGCTTTAATTTATCTGAAAATTCTTCATCATTCATATTTCCATACTAGATACCAGAATGCTGTTGCCCTCATACTCAGATAATTCCAATTCTTAAATTAAATTAGCTAACCAATAATCCAGTGTCTGGCTCTTATGTTCTCTTAAAATCTAAGTTGTTGAAGCACCTGTTTGGTACAGAATAAAAGCTTATCTACAGTAGATGAATAAACTTACACAGACTCTCACAGGTTGCTTCAGATGAGTTAGGAAGTGTGCTACCTGCAGTGAATCAAGGAGCAGCTTTCTCAAACAGCCATGGAAGCACTCGATACTGCTGTTGTTACACACCTACCCCCTAGATGAGCTATTTGGAGCCAGTGCATGTGTCTGCACAGTCTGCATTCAGCAGTTGAGGCATATTGTGTCCCTCAGTACTGCCAAACGCCAGTACAAGGACTGACACTCCGCCTGTTCCCTTTCCTTGTTGCAGGGTTGGCCACACCCGTGGATTTGAAGTTGAAGTTGATCCCTATTCTGCAGCACATGCATCATGATGCCAGCTTGGCCTCCAGCTCCCGGCAGCTGCTCCAGCAGCTGGTGACATCTTACCCCTCTACCAAGATGGTCATTGTTACTCTGCACACCTTTACTCTGCTTGCTGCTTCTTCTTTGGTTGACATTCCTAAGCAGGTAATTCTTTCTAATGCATTAAGTACTAAGTACATTTGAAAAAAATTCAAATTCCAGATGGTTCTGTTTCCAGACAACCCCATCAAACACATTAACCCTTCTATACAAGTCATAACCTGTCTTTCTTTAGGTCAACTGGGATTGAAATCAGGTAGTATTGATCAGCATTCAGGAAAGCAAATACCCTGACTTTGTGCCTGTAGAGGCCAACCTTCACTTTCCACTGCTGTATATTGCCTTATGTTGTGGGGGTGCCTTTTTCTTTCGTGCAAGCAAATGAATGTTTCAGTAGCACAGAATGCATTTTAAAAGGTATTTCTTGAGGAACTTTGAGAATTTGAATCTGTTGCTTAAATTTAGGACTGTACACCGAGTAATGGGAAAAGCAGTGATGGAAAAGTACAATGCTTTTATGCTCTGATAATGAGCTTTGTGGATGTGATTTATATAGCAGATCTAAACACAGTGACACTTGAGACTCATCTAACTAATCCTTGTAAAGTAGTCATGAAAATCTATTTGCGTTATTTCAGTCCTGTACAACTGAAAGTGGAAAGCTGGTGTCTGCTACTGTTAGGCTAATAGCATTGATCTGTCTGAAACTTTTGGTATGGCTCATTTCTGTATTTCAGAGGATGCTTTTGATAGTACTGAATCTAAGTCTACTGAAACAGCATTAGAACACTTAATGTGCTGCTTTTTGCCTTTTTTTTTTTTCTTTTAAATGGCAGTAAGCATGGAGATTTAGGCTGTATTTCTGCAGCACAACAGCAGCCAATACTGCTTAAAACTGATGTAGTCATGGTGGTGAGGTTCAAGCTTTTTCATGTCCTGGGTATTCTGTGCTTGTAAATTTGCAGACCATGAGCACAATAAAGGACACACAAGCGAGTGTTGCTTACATTGAGATAAATGCTTCAGAAGGTGTGGATAGGGATTGTTTTTGTTTGGTTGGGGTTTTGTGGGTTGTTTTTGCAACTGCTGAAATACAAGGTATGTCTCTCTTGCTGTCTGTTAAGTGCAGATCACACAGATGCCAAATTAGCATCAAATGCCCACAACACTGGTTAGCAGCATAATCACAACAGTGTAAGATGTTTACTGTGTTTCTCAGGGATGTTTTGTGGTATTTCTGAGTGCTGAGACATATCTTGAGGCTTCTCACGTATGCAGGGTTATGTAGAGAAGGGTACATGAACAAGGAGAGCGGGATGGTAAAAAATACCAGACTGTTTTAGCTTGCAGTAGCTTCACAACCATGAGGCAAGAAATCAGACAGGTAGGGCAAGTTAATTTTGGTTGAGTATGCTCAACATTTCTTCAAGAGTGCTTTTGAAAATACTTCCTTCTAGTAGCATATCTCCTCTTAAACAATGAATTTTTTTCACTGCAGATCCAGCTTTTGTTGCAATACTTGAAAAATGACCCCAGGAAGGCTGTGAAGAGGCTTGCAATCCAGGATTTGAAGTTGCTGGCCAACAAGACGCCACATACATGGAGCAGAGAAAATATTCAGGTTTATACATTTTTAAGCTGAAGTTTAAACTTTCCAATTAGTTGTAGGATTCTTTCTAGAAGAACAACTTGGGAGGTAAAGGAAGGAGGGACATGCATCTCCATGTCCTTAAGTTAGGTCACTGTGCCAAGCAGAGTAGCCAAGTACTAATGAGCGGTTCATAAAATATCTTTATTGGACAAGTTGACACATAAGGATCAAAACTGAAGTACTACAGATGAGGAAAGGCATGTGTAATGTAGTAGGCCTTTTTAGAGTAAGGAAATAACTTTTCTATGTGACAAACTGATCTGAGGTAATAGACACGAGAGCTGAATGTTTACATTAATCTTAAAATACTGAGTATGCATTAATGCTTTCATGTAACACAGAGTCTCTGGGATTTGTCAGAGCATGTCATCCATCAAGGTATACTTGAAAGGACAAGTGTCATTTTGACTTCTTTTCTTAGGATTAATGGCTTATTTTCAATAGTAGCCTTGTGACTCCCATAGTATGAGACCCTAGACAGTGTTTATAGTGCACCTGTGCTATTTGGGGAAACCATTGTTATACTGTAGATACTATCACTACCTTCTTTCAATCACAGTTGCCTGTGAAAATTTTTTTCTCCTTGTCTTTCTCTTTTTCTGGTAGAAATGACTATAGGAAACAACTTCAGGTTAGATTAATGGGAAAGTAAATATTTCCAGAACTTAATGGCAGAGGGTTACAACTCTAGTTTTTTCTAGGTCATTTTTTTCTTTGTTTTTGCTACCCTTGGAAGCTACTTTTGTTCTATGTTGTTAGTTTTTCCTCCCAGCTGCCTTATGCTCTATGTGGGTTTTTGTTAACAATCATGTGAGAAATAAAGCATGTTCTGGTTTGCCCCTGATTCTTAGAGATGATGATTTGGACCGTGCAGAGGTTTTTGTTTAAGTGAACTGTTTTGTTCTTTGTAATGTATTAATACCAGAAAGGTATTTTTAAGGAGTTGCTTTATGGATTGTTTTACTGATTCTTTGTAGTCAAAATGCTACTCTACACCATTATGTCTCGTTAGTAGTAGACATTGATAATGTGGCTTTCATCCTCACATAGGATCTTAGAGTTCATGTCCTAATGTTTGAAATGCACAGGGACAAGTTCCATCGATGTCAGAACTAACTCAATGACTAGGTTAAAACAAGACTAATTGTCTGAATTGTCTGCTTGCTGAATGGCATGCAGAAATAATAAGAATTTTTCTGCCTTCTGAAGTATAAAGTCAACATTTCAAGTAGGGAAATTTTTTCTCCATATGTTTAAATGACTTAGTTTTGTTTATACAACAGAGATTGGAACAAACTCTCCTTTTCTCATGGCAAGACTTGCTTTTTGTACCTTTTTACCAACAAAAGTTGGTTAGTTTCTTCAGCATTTTGGGTCTGTCAGGTGGAAAGTTTGGTCTTTGAGTTGTGGAGACTTGACTTATTCTAGACATCAGCTTTAGAAGCTGCTGCTGTTGATGCCTAGAGCAGTCCTTCTGACTGCAAAGGTAACAAGTAGTCTGTGCTCCATCCTGCTAATTCTTCTGTGCTCCTGGCATTCTTCAAAGTTCTGAGAGGGAATCTAATAGCACTGGAGTAAAACATCAGTGTCTTGGGAGACACTGAGACTCATTTTCAACCCTAATAATTGTCTCTTCCTCTGTCTGTTGATGCCATACTATTCAATGGATTAGCAAAGTATTAATTGGTACAAATTACAGATGTATTTAGAATTTAACCCTTATACCATGCACATGCCTGATAAGAACACTGCTGTTTTTTTGTTTGTTTGTTTGTTTGTTCTGTGGAACTAATTCTGTGTTGTTGTTTTTCTTTATTCAGTTACTGGATGTTATCATTCAGCTTTGACACTCTGAGGCAGAATATGCTTATATTTTCCATTTGTATCTCATATTACTGTCCCTCTGACTGAAAAAAAACCTCAAAATCGGTGAATGACTGTGGACAGTGTTGGCATAACGAACTGAGAACAATGTTCATTTTAAGAGTTATTCCAACCTAGATCTGATAAGGCCTGACAAGATCTGGTAAAAGGCACAAAAGTATGATGGCATATTCTACTATAAATGAATTAAAAATAAAATACACTTATTATTTTTATCAAGGAACTTAAACTGTATTCTGCTGGACACTAGTGCTAGTAAAGGAAATGACTTTTGAAACGTTGCTCTTCAGAGGTGTGTATTTACATAAAACCCTGCAGATTGTTACAAGGCAGAATAATCAATATGTCTCTAAGACTGGAGAAACTGCCTTAAAATCTTGTGTAGTATTTGATCAATTAGACCTGATAATATTTTTGCCATTCATTTTTAATTAATAAGTGACTTATAATTGATGTTTCATAGCAAATAAGAAAGACTCATGTCACTTTTCTGCCAGCCAGATCCTGTCTTCTAGAACAGTCACTTGATTTTAGTGTAGTATTTTCTGTAGGAAAATTTTGACTCTCAGAACTTTTCAGAGGAGTGCAACTACATTTTTAATACAGGTTGCTCATGGGACTTCTTACCTCTGTATCTTTTTTCTTGCCGATCTTTAGGCACTCTGTGAATCCGCTCTTCACACTCCTTATGACAGCTTGAAAATGGGCATGTTATCTGTTCTTTCCACATTATCAGGGACCATTGCCATTAAACAGTACTTCAGCAGTGCTCCAGGTAAGAAAAGATGGTTATCTTTGGCATTTCTAATAGGTTGGTTTTGTACTGATGATCAATTGCATCTAAACAGTTTGTAGTGTATTCTTAAACTATTTTTGAATTTGAGAATACTGGGTGAGAGTCAGACTGTGTTTATCGTATGTAAACTCAAAGTGGGATGCTGTATACCCATGAATAATCATGGTCTCAGATTTCCTTCTGTTTTGTGGGTCCTATAGTATATGAAATGGGTTTTTACCTTTGGGTCTTCAACATTTCTTCATTTTACAATCACATGTGTTGCCTCTCAAATGGCTGACCTGCATTCTGCTCAAGTGTCGCTGTTTATGTCATGACAGTCCAATAAAAAACACACAAGAAGGCTGATTCAGGGCAACATAAGAAAAGGCCTCTTCTTTATTAAATCCCAGCTCATTTTATATCATTTTCAACAAGCAGGAAGCAAGCAGCAAGGAAGTAGCAAGCAAGCAACAACATCCTAATTGGCCACTCATCATTACCGATACACTTGGCAGCAATCGTGAGACACCTGGAGATGTCCAAGGACAAGGCTGTGGTTCTCACATACCAAATCTATGGACTCACAGTCTGCCCTCGTTCCCCAATTACCCTGTGTGTAAAACTTACTTATCTTCAAGGCCACACTCGAAAGTTTTCCAAGTCAATCTCCTTTTCCAGGGAGCTAACAGACCCACTGTTAACCCCTACACTTAAGGTGCTTTCAAACCCTGGATTTGCACTGTTCTTGAGTAGTGGGGAGGCTTTATGGTGTGAGAGTGGGCTGGCATGTTACCCTGGTACAGTGAAGCTGGACCAAATGACCTGCAGCAGTACCAAGTGAACCTTTCTGCCTTGTCACAATATTCTGGAGAAACAGAGTAGGCATTTAAAAGTGATTCAAGGTATCTTGTTCTTAAAATTATCATCATGTTGATTTGATTTTTCTTCCTGAAAGCCAGACTGCCCTAATGAGTACCATGAGCCCAACTGCAGCAACTGCAGAAATGGGGAAAAAAAAAATATTCTCTTCAGTCATTCTGGCATGTCTGAATAATTAACATGCTCAGCAGCTTTTTTTAATCAGACATAATATTTCTTAAGGCAATATTTCTCTGAGTCCTGAAACATCAGCCTTTAGACCCAAATGTTCTTTCTTATGTGTGTCCAACTTGTGGAGTGTTCAGGAATGGGAAAGTCTCTGTGTGTGAAGAAAGATATTTTCATCCTATCATTTAAACATAACAAAAATTCTGAAGTCAGTATAGTTGTTTTGTAGAAATGTACTTAAAAATCTGTGATATATTTATGGACTGTTAAGTTTTATGTTCTGTTTGCCTTGTCTTTATTTAGGAACAGCAGCTACAACTACATTTGATTTAGTAAAGCTAGCACAGGAGTGCTGTTACCATACTAACCGTGGCATTGCAGCTCATGGTGTTAGAATTCTGACTAATATATCAGCTTCTTGTCAGGAAAAAGGTAAGTGAAAGCAAGGGCAACAAAGTGGGTCCGTTTACAATCAGGCTTATGCACTTAACACGTATTAACTGGTCCTGTCTGTGAACCTGTCTGTTAATCTGTCTGATCCTTCGTGCTCATTAGGGAGAATGGGGACTATAACCTAGTAGAAAATACTCTGATTTTATGAATGCTTGGGAAGATTCCATCTTTGTCTAATTTAGAGAAAATTACTGGGCATAGTAGAACTGGTGCTAAATAAAGGCTTGTTTTCCCTTTTGCTGTATGACCAGTGAATTGTTTGCCAACCTTTGAAAACGCTTTGCACAAAATTTGTTGCAAAAGAGTAACAGAGCATTTAGAAGCCTTAGTCCAGAGGTTTGTGCATACTTTCCAAACGTCACAGTTGCTGTGACTGCTGAATAGTTACCTGAGACGTGGAATGGCAGATTTGTTTCTAATCAAAGTAAGGTAAGGACCATATTAGGGAGATATTTGTCTGTCATGACTGCAGCAGCAGTGCAAGCATTACAGTGAGCATGGTAAGAAAACAGCACAGAGAACAAATTAACTCTGCTTTTCTTTTTGTAGATCTTCTGCCTTTGGAGCAAGATGCAGTTTTTGGCTTAGAAGCTCTTCTTGTTCTTTGTAGTCAAGATGACAGTCCAGGAGCTCAAGCAACCTTAAAGGTGACATTACTCTTGTCTTCCCTAGCAAGCTGTAAGTTATAGTAACACCTTGTATAACAGAGTGGCTGATGTGCACCATATCCTTTCTGGTGGACACATAACAGGCTAGAGGGAAATAAAGATTTTTCTGGTTTGCCCATAATCAGAGTCCAGAGCTCTAGAGAAACTGAGCAGAACTATAGTGCACCACCTCTCAGCTCTAGAGCAAGTGAATTGTTCTGTGGATGGAGGGAGCCTTCCTCTCAGAGGAACAGCTGTAATAAAACATGAACTTGAACATTAGATGGAGGTGTTCTCTGGAGAACAAAAGGATCTCAGAGAGAACTTGTTTTGTGGAGATCGAGATGCAATGTACATGATTACAGCACTTTTATTATTTCTATTTTCCCACTTCAGAAACTGCTATCGGTAATTTTTCTAGTTATTTACCTGTAAAGGCTGGTGGTCTGACAAAGACTATGAACAATTCTTGAATTTGTGATGTGTTTTTGTGCTGTGAGCTCAGGGACAAAGGCTTGGGCTCTTAGAAAAATCTGATCTTCTGTAGAGTACATGGTTCTGAAAATACCAGATCTGTATTTCCACAGTCAGAGCTGCAGATAAGTAAGTGTGCCTGGCTGTTTTCTTTTTTGAGGAGACATCGTATTTATTGCTCCTGTTGATTGTGTGAATTGCAGATCACGTTAACTTGTATGGTGAAGCTGGTCAAGTGCCGTCCTCACCTGAGCCAGTCAGTGGTGGAGTCCCTGTTGACGCAGCTGCAGAGTGCCCAGGACAGTGCCAGGATTCTCATGTGCCACTGTTTAGCTGCTATTGCCATGCAGCTGCCTGTCCTAGCAGATGGGATCCTAGGAGACCTAATGGACCTCTATAAATTAATAGGACAATCTGCCACAGATAAGAAACAGGAACTTTTGGTAAGGCCTCCCTTGATGGATAAAAGTCTGTATAAACAACTGTCGATGGATTGTGTTTAAAAAGGCAGCTAAAACATTTATGTCCAGGTTGATGTGCCTATCTATAGCCACTATTTTCAGTTTTGTTTTAACTTTTGACTATCTATGTCAGTGCTTAGTGTAGAAATATTTCCTAGACGGAGCTGAGCTAAGCAGTATATTCCATTAGATTTTCCAGCAGATGGCACTGCTTAGACAAACCTGAAATTGACTAATTGACAATTGAAATTGAAATTATTGGGATATCTCTGAAGTAGTGGTTATAGGCAAAATGGCAGTTAGCTCCATTTATATGTGGTGCTCTGATGCAAAATGACTTAATATATTGTAAGAGAGAAAAATGCTTTCATCACATCTCTTTGGGAAAGAATTTGAATTTTAAAAAAGAAATTAAAAGCTTTCTGTTAATTTATTTGGAACATTTGAAATATCTCAGTTAAAAGGAAGAGTAAAGATTCTTTAATTTAAAGTTACTTTCATCCACAAGAAATACTTGGATGGCTGTAACTGCTTAAAAGATATGACTCAGAAAAGTTTTGCAGTTAAAATATATATGTAATCTTCAATGTAATATAAAACAGAATTGCCTTTTTTCTTCTTTTCTTTACTTACTGAAATAGAACTTTCTTCCTCACTCCTCCACTTTCTATTAGGTTTCTCTTGCCACAGTGATATTTGTTTCCAGTCAGAAAGCTTTGTCCACAGAAATCAAAACTGTTATCAAACAGCAGCTTGAGAATGCCTCCAATGGATGGACAGCCTACAGGATAGCCAGGCAGGCTTCCAGAATGGTGGGTGAAAATACCTGGATTGTTGTGGTTGGAGGGATGCTAGTGATTTCTTTGAATTGAATAAGAAAGTAAGGAAAATGGTAGGACTTGGGAGGAGGAAATGAATGGGGGTGGGGGTTAGAAATCATTTTCCCTCTTAATTGGAATGTTGATTCAGAAATATGCCATTTAGGACACTGATCCCATCAGAATGGTTTTTCACTTGTGTGTTTGAAGTATTTGAGAAGGAAGTGAGTAGTGACCTGGCACTTTCTTGATCACATACCTAATCTGTATTGTCTAACTGTTCTTTAGAAGGTGATACAGGTCATCCTAATGTGTCCTTCTCTTTCTTCAATGTAAAGAAAGGAAGAAAAAGATCGTGTTTCCATTTTCCCTTCAGTAAATTCACAACTGGGTTTAGAATTACACAAACTAATATGAGATGCTGAGGTGAAAGTAAATTTCAATGTTTGTTTCTCCTCTTATTGAATTATCTTGTGTAAATAACTAGTATATACAGGCTGATGTTTCCATAAAATAAAAATTTTTACCTTTATTTATTAGGATTTTTGCGATCAAAGGATTGGAAAAACTTTCACTACCTATTTTTAAGCTAGGGGTAGTTCTGGAGATGTTACTGTTTTGTTACTTGTATTTGTTTTGTAGAAATCCACAGCCTTCATTCATGTCCCCATTTAGAAACATTCTTCTCATTACAGGGCAACCATGACATGGCCAGAGAACTGTATCAAAGCCTGCTGACTCAAGTAGCTTCAGAACACTTCTACTTCTGGCTGAACAGCTTGAAGGAGTTTTCCCATGCAGAACAGTGTCTGACAGGTCTGCAGGAAGACAACTACAGCTCAGCACTTTCTTGCATTGCTGAAGCTTTAAAATCCTATCACAAAGGAATAGCATCACTGACGGTCAGCACACATCTCCTGTAGTGGTGATGTTTCTGTGTACTGCAGCATGTGTTTGGTTTCTGTTCTTAAATCTCTGAACAATTTTAAAAGATGTGTAGCATCTACAAGACTCTTTTTGAGATGACTGCAGAGAAGTAACACTGCATCTTCAGAAAAAAAGATCCTGTAGCTTAGCCAAGTGTGATTAGCTAGGTTTTACTTTGTTTTTCCTTCTTCCCCCACCCCTTTATTTCCTGCCTTGATCAGATCACATGATATGTGACAGATCTTGTTTAAAGTCACAACACTTAAAATTTTCCACTCCTTGTCTTGGCAGAATAAAAGCCATTGTAATAGTCAAGCCTGGGAATTTGTCAAAATTGGCTGCTATAGAGTAGAATTCAATTGTCTTTCTCCCTCCTGCTGACTTCATGTCACCTTGTATTTGACAGTGGGATCTTATGGAATCCTAACAACAAGGCAACACCAATTTAGAAAGAGGAGGGAAGACAATTCAACTTGATCAAATTGGCAGAATTGAGATGGTACCTGCTTTTATGCAAATACTTCCTACTTCTCTGAAGTGATAAAAATAGCACATCTGTAAATGTAAACAAAAAAAAATTAATGAATAAGGACCTTCAGTTCTTACTGTGAAGTTGCTTCTTAACCAAAGATGATCCAACTTCACACAATGCTTTATTTCATATTTTATATTTCATATTTTTTTTTCCATGAAGAAATCTTTACTTGCAGTTTTCTTTGTGCATCTTCAGTGAAGCTGTTTTTTTTTTCTTTTTTAGTTACTGGTACTGTCAGGGTCATGACAGTTCAGATATTAGTGTTTAATAAAGTGTAGATATTACTATTTATTAATAAAATGTCCCTGAATAAGCAGAAGGGACATAAATTTTATACTGTTGTCCTCTGAAAGACCCATCATTCCTGAAGTGTTTAAGTGTTGGCTGAGTGAATAAGGCTTTTAATTCAGTATTTCAAGATTTCTCTAACATGGAGAAGACATTGAGGGGAGGACCTAATTAGATGTTAATATTTAATACAGGCAGGAAAAAAGCTTGCTTAAATAGGTCATTCTGTGATTCAGGAATTAAATTACTCTTTCCCTAGAGTTTGGGACTTTTTCTCTGTTGATGGATTCCTGTCTTCATCTCTGCTGACTCCACTTTCTGCATGCTGCACGTAGTACTTTTCTGGGTGCAGTACCTTCCTTTTGGGTGGTTGTGGTCCAGAGGAGAAAGTACAGGTTTTGTAGGGTTAGAGAAGAGGAAATTTGGGTTTATTGCTGGTTGTTGCTGACTTGTTGCATCACTCTGGACAATTTCCCAACCTACTTGAGTGTATCAGCTGTAAGAGGAGCCACTCACTGTTTGCATCTGTAGAACTCCGCATCTCAAAGGGGAGCAAAGTGCCACAGAGTGCACTGAGTCTTGCTGCTGAAGACTTCTGCTGTCTCTGCCTCCTGACTTCAGCTTTACTGTTGCTGCTGTTTCAGTGCAGAGCACAACTCAGCACTGGTGGTACCCCAAACCAGTGGTGTGTATGATGAACCCTGTGTAGCTGTTCCTCTTCGTAGCTGGAAGAGGCTGTGCTAGTAAACGCGCTGCAGATGTTTAGTCAGCGCAGTTTTGCAATGAAACATTCAGACAGTGTCTGATCTTGTCGGAAAATTTCTCAATTCCTCCTTGAGACACGTACAGCTGTCTTGCATTGCCGCCTGCAGAATGTTCTTACGTCTGACTTAGTGCACTTGAGGGAAAGTGGTCCCTTTACTTTATGGATGAGAGTTGTATGTGGGAGGACAGGGACTTGCAGTGGAGCATATTGACCACCGTCCTCATCCATCTTGCTGTGTATTTGCTTGTAGAGCTACCAAAAGGTTTGCAAAGGACCTGCTCTTTCTGGCACGAAGCGTGTCTCAGTGGAAGCCTTGTGCTTATTTTTCACTGCTGGTAATCTGAGGAAGATACAAAACTTGAACAAAGCACTAATACAGCCATTGGTTAAGTGGCACTAATTCCAAATATGTTGATAGCAAGTGATGGTATTTAAAGAACTTGGCTGAGCTAAAGAACTCTGTTAGTTTCAAAAAAGAGTTGTAACTCATTTATTGCCCATGGCTTTATGGGTAGCAGATAAGGTAATTGCAGTATTAATGAGACAAGCTTGTATTTCCATTTACAAGAATCAAGTCCAATTTGTGCTGCTAAAAATGTCTGGATTTTCTGATATAAGTACTGGTACTTTACTCTCTTTGAAAGCATGTAGTCTTTGTAGAGCAATTACAGTGCAGTGTACCCTCTTCCACAGAGGGTGTTCTGAAACTACCCCTGCAGAATAAACTGAACATTTTCAATTCAAAAGGGATTTTTTTGTGCCCTTGGCGAAGGAAAAGCAGAGTGATAGATAAGAGAGGGTGAGTGGCTCAAGTGATGAAATAGTCTTATTTCTTCAGTTGAAATCTAGCTCAGTAGTTTAAAGTGGCTGCAGTCAGCTGATGTTTCCTCACTTTAGTCAGTAGTGGACCAGTTCTTAGATGACGTGATGTTTTGTGAGACACTAGTTAGCTGTTTCTCTGCTAGCAAAAAAATGGTTCTTAGAAGGTTTTGGGATGGCTTACAACTTCTTGCTTTGAGAAGTGACATGCTTACCTGCTGAGAAATAAGAAGCACTGGGAAGATATGCATGAATTTAACATACTTCCATTCTCTGAGCAAGAGAAAGTCCCAGTGCTTTGTTTTACAGATTACTTTCCCCTCCACCCCAAAGAATAAAGTGTGTTCTTCTCAAAATCCAGAATTTTAAATAAAATGAGTAGTGAATTTTTGGCTTAACTAGTATCAGACCTTGAGTACTCCAATTTACCCCCTCCTGGGTGTCCTAAGCTGTCACAGATGCTTCTACAAGTCAGATAAGCTCCTAGGGGGCAAAGTTTCACAGAACTGTATTTTATAAATAACCCTCCTGGAGTTCCATTATTTACTGTCCTTAGTTATCACTGGATCGTGTCTCTTGGCCTTCATCAAGTGCAAGGTTCGGGGCCTTCATAATGTTCCCATCCATTTCACAGTCCAAAAAAATCAAAGGTTATCACCCCATCCTCTTGCTCTTGCTTCAATTGAAGCCTTATGACTCGGCCTTGGAAAAAGAGGAAATATGTGCCCTAATAGCATTGTAACAGCTTAAGTCACATTTATTACAAGGGTGGTATGCTTGCAATATGACTTAGGAATTATGTAACTTCTGTGTCCTTTATATTTAGTATGATTTAAATTGAGCAAACCTGCTAAATGTAGTTTTAAAAAAAGCATCTTTTAGAATTTGAACTTTTGGATTTAGTTGTCTGATGAGACAGTTCAGTGACGTTGCAATGTTATTTTATCATTTTTGCTTTTGACCTAGATTGCCAACATTCCTATTACTGTGTTTCAGGCTGCTAGTACGCCACTTAATCCTCTGAGCTTTCAGTGTGGATTTGTGAAACTCAGGATTGACCTTCTGCAAGCTTTTTCCCAACTTATTTGTACCTGCAACAGCCTAAAAACAAGTCCACCACCAGCTATTGCCACAACGATTGCTATGACATCAGGAAATGATCTCCAAAGGTGTGGACGCATCTCTAACCAGGCACGTGTTCTTGCTCCACTCTTGCGCAATTCTGTTTAGGACTCGGGTGCCAATTTTGCTTCTCAGCAGTCATATCTTTCAAAAGGAATGAGAAGTATCGGTGAAGTATTTTGCTGAATAGTAGGCCTTGGCTTTCAGCTGTAGCTATAAGAATGCCTGCCTGTAGCAGGCCACATTCTGAAGCTGAGCGTGTGCACGTGTTTTCTCATACGCTCACGTGCACAACTTCCAGGGATTGTGCTTGTAGTGAACCACTCAAACTCGCAGGAAGGCCTTTCACACCTTGTCTTGAAACACCTCAGGTACTGTGATTACACACTAATGAAGAATATGTATACCTTAGGATCCTTCTGCAACTCCTTTTGGTGAGTGTTGGCAACTGCCTTGATGCCATGAAAAACACCAAGGTAGTTTGCGTCTGAAAAGCACATAGTCTGCAAGAAGGAATCAGTGGGTAGCTTTTGAAAGATAAAGCAGTTTGATTTACCAGTAGGGAATGGAGGAGTTTGTTGCTGGAGTTTCTTTATTTCACTTTATTTTTAACTTAAGGAGTGTATGTCGGTGTTCTGTTACAGGAGAAATGTCTGTTTAGTGCCTGGATAACAGTCTGTCATTTTGGTAATTTTCATCTGTGTGAAGAAGCAAGAACTTTATATATTTTTCTGGAGTGTGTTACCTTATTTCTTCAGTGTTGTGTGTGATAGTGTAGTGGTGTTCTGAATGTGTGGTGTTTTGTTTTGGTTTGATTTGTGTTTTTGACTACTAACATTGTCTCTGTAGATGAAACACTCGATGGAGGAATTCAGAAACTTGGCTACACGGTATGGAGATCTGTATCAGTCATCTTTTGATGCAGACTCTGCAACTCTAAGGAATGTAGAACTGTATCCTTTTAAAAGCTTATAATTTGTCCACTTGCCTTCTCATGTAGACAACACAAAGCTTAACAGTCCTCTTTTCTATACACTGCCACAAAGTAATTTTGAAGCAGTTAATAATGCAAAAATTATGTACCAGCTGCTTAAAACCTATTTGAAAATAAACATTACCACACTATTGTTTGGAATTACTTTATGAATAAATTATGACACAAAAATTTGAGCAGCACAAAACTTGGTAATTTCATAGTTCTTGCTCCATGTTTACTAAACAAGTAATGACTGTAGAATTACTTCACAAAGCTAGAGAAACAAGGAAAAGTACCACTAAATACACTGCATTTCTTGTTTTAGGTGCCAACTTTTTAAGCCTTTCAAGTCCTTAGTATTAATATCAGACAACAGCAGAGCTGCCTTTTGATTTCACATGCAATAGAAGCACTGATTTTGGATCCAGAATCTACAAGGTAGGTTTGATAGTTAACTTCATGCTCCTTTTCTGGTTATTTCTAAATCCTTGGAGCTTTAAGTGCTGGAATTCGAAGAATGTTTAGAAAGTTTCTCAGTAGACCCTTCTAATTATATTTTGGGCAGGCTTAAGGATCTGTTGCTTCTGTGCCATACCTGGCAGGCTGCGGACTGTGTTTTGGGTTCTGCATTTTACACTGATTTTGCTCGAGAGCACTACACTGGATTTGTTTTAAGTAGAGTCATGCATTAAAGTAAAAAAGACTTTTAATCTGTTCTTTAACCACCTATTTTAACTGGTGTCATTCTGTGTTAGCTCCCCTACCTGTTGCTTGCACTTGTAAGTGCACTGTAGCTTCCTTCACAGTTGTGAAAATATATGCACTAGATTAGTTCAAATTTCTAATGTAAATCCATCAACTCTGGTTCTTTTTCTAACAGTGAACTTATATCCACTAGAAAATCACATTGAAGTACCCATGAATTGAATCACTGTTGTAAACTCCCAGGCTGAGATTAAATGGAAAATACAGTGGATAAAACCTCTTAGTGATTTTGTAACTGGCAATAAAAGTGAGCATCCTAAGTGACTGTAGTGCTCATTATGAATTAAGTGTTGCTTAGAATGTGTATTAATTAAACTTGTATGAAACTGGGTATCTAGGAGATGGCATTGTATTCAAAGCATGAGATTATAAACTTCCGGGTATAGTCTTAATTCTGACTGGCATTCTTGCTTTTCTTTCTGTTTAAAAATGTCATAAACACTGCAGGCTGAAATAAAAGCCAGGGGAAGTAAGCATGCTGCGTCTGTTAGACCTGTAACTGTTTCAAGTGAGAGAGGCTGGGGACAGAAAGTGGTGGCTAAGCTGTAGTTTAGAAGGATTTAAACGTAAAGAACAAGTCTTACAGTGAAAAAATAGTAAAGAAACAGAGCAAACAGTTTGAAAGACATTCCTTCATGGATTTCAAGTTGTAACAGAGGATGGTCTTGTTGGGTGTGTTTGGTAGTGTGCCTTCCAGATTATGATGAGGAAAGTAAGTTAGACACAATAAAAAGTTTTATTTTTTTTTTAGTTTCCAGGAATATAGCTCGAATGGAACAGCTCATGTTGAAAGTGAATATGAAAGAAGAATGATGTCTGTATTTAACCATGTACTAGAGGAAGTAGAATCCCTCAACAGGAAGTATGCTCCTGTGTCTTACTTGGCAAGTAACAGTTTTATTTTAAATGTATATTCTGTAGACAAAGGTGCCAGAAACCTGGCAACTCCATGTATCTATGGATATATGGCCAAGAAACCAAAAAGCACTCTCAGTTAATTAACACAGCCTCTTACTGGCACAAATGGTCTCTACATAGACACACTGCTTCAAAATACTTCAAATATGTTTTTGATAAAAACACCTGTAAACCTTACTGGTATGATAAAAAGTAATCTTTTAAAAATTCTGATATTTGTAGTATAGCATATGCTGGTAGGATAACTGAAAGCACTGTCAACTCTTTGTCAGACCTCTCCCCACACTCACAAACACTGAAGCACATTGTCTCTCTTTTCATGCTCTTGCTGTGAAGGAATTCTCCCCCTGCCAAACACAGGGCTGGAGGGTCCTAGCCTAGCTTTGGTCCCAGAGCTGTTGGTGGTTAATGCTGTGTTTTGTGAGTCTTATTTTTCTTTCTCTTATCAGTGCGGGTCATCAGAGAGCACAAAGTAAAGTTTGCTGAGTGCACACAGCCGGCTGATAACGTGCCCCTGTTTACAGGGCTGCTGTGGTTCTGTCTTTTACTATTGGTGAACATCATAAAGCTAAAGTGCATGTTAATGGGAACCAGGTAGTTTGTTTGTCACGGCTGGCTTCTGTTTGCCTTGTTTCTAAATTCAACAGTCCTCACCAATTCCAAATAGAATAGAAGAATGAGTACCCGTAAACGGTAGCAAAGGTAAACCCTGTAAACTTAGTTGTCACTGGCTCTGTACCAAGGCAGCTGGGTGACTTCAGCAGCACTACTTGACTTCATCTGAGCCAGAAGTGCAGAGGGAAAGGAAGAGTAGTCAAGAGGCTTAAAACTTTTAATTATTGCATTAAGTTGTGACAGATGCCAGTCTTGTGTGCTTAGAGGGGAGTTTGTGTGTGATGTTTTTGTGTATGAGTGTTTCAAGCAGATCCTGCTCTGCTGACTGTAACACTAGGACTGGAAAGATTTGTATTTTTCTTTTTCTTGGCCTCCTTCTTGTTTCCAGGGCAGAATACCTTCTTCATAAAAGGCAGAACATAAACAGAGAGGCTGAATGTAATCAGTGTCATCATAGTGGCTGTTCTATGACTGTATTAGTATGTTTCTGGACTTCTAGTGGAAATTACTGCTGTTTTAATACCTCAAGTATGTGTCTTTTTCCTATGTTATTAATGGTATTTTCTTCTCATTTGTTTTGGCTCTGTTTCTTGCAGCATACAGCTTGTCTGTGCAATGCTGTCATTGCCTTGTTGAAGGTGCCCCTTTCATTTCAAAGGTACTTTTTCCAAAAGCTGCAATCTACAAGTATCAAGGTAAGCACTGCTCAAATATGGCCTATTTCATAAAGGCCATATGGTCTTTATTTCATGAGAAAAGCCCTACTGAAAGCACAAAGCTTCAGCATTTTTAGTGAAGATACTTAACTGCAAATAGCATTTGGGTTTATCTTAGGAATAAATTGAATGCTATGCATGTATGGTCGTTGAGAACCACTAGTTCTGGTCCTAGGAAGGCAGCTTTTATAAATTTGTATTGTTTTTTTCCTTTAAAAAGCAAGGTTTACTATCTTGAAGAAAATTGTAATATGTATCAGCTGACTGACTAAGAATACCTATATGTGATTATGATAATATTTTTTTTGTTTTATTTAAGTGCTCCTTTTTTTCTGGGAAAAAGGAAAGCCTTAAGTTTTTTAACATTTACTGCATTTCACTTCTTTGTTCAGCTTAGTATACTTACTTGTGGCTATATTGGGGAAGATTTTTTTCCACATCTTTTCTGGAAGTGTAGTAGTGAAACTGATATAAACACAATATCTGATGTTGCTGTTTATTAATTAATATAATAACAGGTCTCAGAGCACTTCTGTTTTTCCGCTTGCTGGTTTTCTTACCAAACCTCTCCTTGGAAATGTTCCTATAAGAAGGTGTCCTGTTTCATCCTTCAATTGTGTTTGCTTTTCTGGAGGCTTATAATTGCATTTTGGTCTGTTTACGTGTGTTTCAGCTTGCTCTATCCCCATCTCCAAGGAACCCAGCAGAACCTATAGCAGTACAGAACAATCAGCAGTTGGCCCTAAAGGTGGAAGGAGTGGTTCAGCACGGATCTAAACCAGGCCTTTTCCGCAAAATCCAGTCGGTCTGTCTAAATGTTTCTTCAGTGCTGCAGAGCAAATCTGGACAAGACTATAAGGTATGGATAGAATAGAACCAGGAGGATTCTGAAGCTCTTTTGGTGTGTTTTCCCGTTCTTTTGTTTGACTCCGGTTAACAGAATTTTCAGGTCGAAATGAATGGGAGGTTCTGTTGTTCTTTCACTGCTGACAGTTGACATTTGAGCACTGGCCTGAGCCAGGTGTAGTGCCTGGAAGGGATCTGGGATTTTCAAGTCTGCTATATGCCAATACCATTTTAGAAACAGCTTTTCTTCCAAAGAAAGAGGCTTTGTGATGTTCAGAACAAGTCATTAGACATCTGCTTGGTATCAGAAAAACTCGGCCTAGGTATGTATCATACAGAACTCCACAGGACAAAAAAAACAGGAACAGATTAATCTCTACCACAAAGTCACTAAACTTATTTATCGTCATTTTAAAGTTCTTTTATTTTGTTTATGGAAAACATGAGGACAGACTGTCCAAATTAAGAGCATCTGAGGAGGTACATATTAAATTTAACTCAACAGTTTTATTGAAGTTTGCATGCCTGCAGTTTAAGTTCTGCTGTGGTATTTGGTGAAAGGCCTGTTTGGGGGCTGGGTTTTTGGTTGGTTTATTGGGGTTTTTTGAGGGGGAAAAGAAGAAGGTGAGTTGCTTATAAAAAACAGAACTAGGAAGTGTGTAATTTTTGACCTGTATTACTCTGTGGAAAACTAGAACCTCAGACTTGTTAGCTACCTTGCTTCTGAGAGTAGTTTTAAAAACTCATTGATGAAAAAGCGTGTCAAACTGTCTCAAACATGCAGTGGTTTAGGAAAATTGAGGACAAAATTTTCTCTCGCTTTTTTTTCCCCCTCTCCCTCAAATGGAGAGCAGAAAACTTATTTTTGACAGGTTTATATGAAGTTACATTTTAACTTTCCATCTCTGTTCTCAGATTCCTATTGACAACATGACCAATGAAATGGAGCAGAGGGTGGAACCACACAATGACTACTTCAGCACTCAGTTTCTGTTAAACTTTGTGATACTTGGCACCCACAACATCACAGTAGAGTCCTCTGTGATAGATTCAAATGGTATTGTCTGGAAAACTGGACCTAAAACAACTATTTTTGTTAAATCTCTTGAGGATCCATACTCGCAGCAGGTCCGTCTTCAGCAACAGCAAGGACAGCCGCCGTCCCAGCAGCAACAGCAAAGAACTGCATACTCACGGTTTTAATCCCCAGAAGTGACTGGTCAACTGGTATTGCAATTTTTCTTGGACTCTTTTTTTTTTTTTTTTTTTCTCCTTTGAAAGACCTTTGTAACCTTCTCCTAGAAGGCCCCAGGTGCCAATTTGTTGCTTTTTAAATTATCTGGGGTAAATTTGAACTCTATTCAGCAGAGGCAGCTGTTCAAATTTGGAGTTGTGCTCTTACTATGAGAACTTCTACCTGATCTCTTAACTTCTGTTTACAAGCCTGTTCCAGCAGGCTCCACAAACTATGATAGCAGGGGACACTTAAGAGCTCTTTGACTGATACTTTCTGTGCTGTAATTTTTTGAAGCACATAGGTTCTAATGTTAGGCTTACAAAACATCAGTAAACAACTTGGCTGGTTATACAGAACTGAGTGTAATACCAAGTTTGTATCTTTTAATGTGAAGCAATTGGCAGGAATGTCCAGAGACTTTTATTTCTGACATTTTAATAGCAGTTTCCAGTATTTGGCTGGTGTATGTGTGTTATTACAATTCATCAGCACTACTTAACGCATGCATCCGGAAGAAAAAAATTTGCAGCTCGCTTCTCATACCCAGTCACTGAAGAGGGAGGAGACTGCTTGAGGGGTTGCTGTCTGGGGAGGTCTGCAAGAGGCAGAGTTTTACAGGTGGGAACAATGACTGTTTCTCAGATGATAGAGAAAATATTACTACATCGTTTTTAGATTTTCATGCATCTGTATTTCTGAAGCCTTTGTTTTTGTTGGCGGGGGGGAGTATTCTTTTATGAAGGAAGTTAACTGGCAAATGGTCATTCATTTTTAACTGCTTTGTTTTTTAAAAGGAATCTTCTGTACCAAAGCCTTGTCATCTCGTGTACTCTTTGACCAATTTGCTAATCTTAATTGTTACTTTTGCAATATAACTTGAAAGAGATTCTTGCCAATACTAGAAATTGATTCAGAATAATTTTGGAAATACACTGCTTCATACATAGTTTTCATGTTTCCTTTGTGACATAAAAGGCTGAAACTGTCTGTGCTCAGACTCACAGGCAATAGATCACGTAGTGTGTCCTTCACCTGGTCCTCATAAATAATCTCTGCTTTTCAGTCTGCAAGAAAATAGAACCCACTTGACTGGAGAGGAGGAAGGATGGCACTTCTTTATAGACTTGACTTAGTAAATGGTTTGATCCCCCTCATTGCAGCAGAAATTTTCATTGTTATTTTCTTGGTAAATTCCTAAGATACTGTTGTTTGTTCAAGTTGATTACACTGTAGAAGCTGGCTGGAGCTTGGAGATTTTGCCCACTTTATATTCAGAGAATATAATAATGAATTTTATATGCTAGGATTTCCTTGGTATAGCTGAATGAAGAATTTTTTGCTGTGTTTTCCTGTAGTAGTTACCTAAGAAATCCAAAAAAAAGTGAAAGTGGACGGGATCATGCTAGATGTCGTAATATCTTGGTCAGGGTGTAATCATAACTAGAAAAGATAATTGAGATGCAAGGTTGAAATAGAAGACCCATAAAGGGTGTGTAAAATTCACCAGCGTCCTTCTAAAATCTGATTTTTATTTTGCGCAGGAGACAGAAACTGCCACTGCCTTTCAAGCTGACTGGGGGAAGTGATGGTTTCTGTCCCCACTTTTGTGGTTCTGTGCCTATAGTTTTGGGGGGGTGTGTGTGGGTATGCATACACCTGTGTATGCACACATACATACTTGTATCTATACATCTAACATCTTCATGAATGACTTGGATGCAGAACTGGAGGAAATATTAAACAAGTTTGCAGATGACACAAAACTCGGAGGAGTTGACTCCCTCAAAGGCAGAGAGGCCCTGCAGAGAGCCCTCGACAAATCAGAGAACTGGGCAATCCCCAGCTGTATGAATTTCAACAAGGAAAAGTGCTGGATTCTACACCTGGGATGGGGCAACCCTGGATGTTCGTACAGGTTAGGGAATGAGATGCTGGAAAGGGACCTGGGGAATATGAGTCAGCAGTGCCCTGGAAACCTGGAGGGCCAACCATGTCCTGGGGGGCCATCAGGGAAAGCATCACCAGCCGGTTGAGGGACAGGTTTGTCCTGCTTTGCTCTGCTCTGCTCTGGTGTGGCCTCACCTTGAATATTGTGGCAGTTTTGGGCACCACAATATAAGAAAGATATTAAGCTGTTAGAGAGGGTCCAAAGGAGGGCAACAAAGATAGTGAAGGGCCTTGAGGGGAAGGTGTATGAGGAGCAGCTGAGGACACTTGGTCTGTTCAGCCTGAAGAAGAGGAGACTGAGGGGAGACCTCATTGCAGTCACGACTTCCTGGTGGGGGGAAGAGGAGGGGCAGGCACTGATCTCTTCTCTGTGGTGACCTGTGACAAGACCTGAGAAAATGGCCTGAAGTTGTGTCAGGGGATGTTTAGGTTGGATATTAGAAAGAGGTTCTTCCCCCAGAGGGTGGTTGGACACTGGAACAGACTCCCCAGGGAAGTGGTCACAGCACCAAGCCTGACAGTTCAAGAAGTGTTTGGATGATGCTCTCAGGCACATGGTGTGGCTCTTGGGGATGGTCCTGTGCAGGGCTAAGGGTTGGACTTGATCCTTATGGGTCCCTTCCAACTTGGCATATTCTGTGATTGTATAGCTGTGTCTAGTTAGATGGTCCAGAAAGAGATACTCACCTGGTGTTTGTGTATGCAGTCTGTCAGATTAAAGATCTGAACTTTTTGTGGTTAGTTGTGTTTTTTCATTAAAGCTGTAGATCAGTGTCTTAACCACAAAATCCTCAGCATTGTAATGCAAAAAAAAAAACCAAACCAACTTTTCATTCTGCATAATGAATGTGTGTTTCTTGCTTTCTTACTGACCAATATATTGCTGGAAACCTGTGAACTCAGAAATTACAGGACATTTCCAGGCTTGGGAACAACTTTCTTGTGAGTCATGTGGCGTTCACAGTGCATAGCTAAACTTAGGAGGAGCCTAGTAGAAAAAAAAACCCTTATCTAGAGAAAGCCCTGCTCTGGCCTGAAGCTTAACTGTCTGTTAGCAGGTAAGATTAACCCTGCCTCTGTTGAAAAAATTATTCCTTCTCCAATCAAGTTTGCTTGCCTGATCTGAGAGAGGCCTCTAGAACTCTGAGAACTTGTATCAGTTTTTAGAGCCAGGCAAGTAATAAAGTCTGAAAATCTGGATATTGGGTATGGGAGATTGCAGGATGAGGGTAAATGTCTTTGGAAAATTGCAAGTACTATTTATTGGAAATAAATGTATAGGAAGATTACTTGCTGTGCAAATATCTGTATTTCTAACAAACTCTGAAGGATTTCTTATGCTGGCACATTTGGAGATGAGTTATTTGTGTGTGCTGATTAGGAAAGACCCTGGACCTGTTAACAAATTGTCCTCTTATATAAGCACAGTATTTCACTTTATGTGTGAGGTTATTTTTTGGGGGTGTGATTCATTTGTTTTCTAGCATTGTGTATTTTTATTCCTAATACACAGTGAAATACACTTGGCAAACAGAAACCAAGATTTGTATAGCAAACAATGACTCAAAATACCTACAGAGAAGTCAGGAAGGGTGTTAGAGTTACAGCAATATACAGAAAGCTGCTGTTGGAGCTATCACCAGTGAATATGATCCTTGACTATTAATAGAAGCAGGGAGGTTATCTTGCTTGAATCCTGCGTTCTCTTTCTGGTGCCTGTACTTGAAGATGTGCAACAAAGAATTTGGAAAGTACTTCTATGATACAGACCCAAGTTAAATCTCCTTAGCGTTTCTCAATAAACAAAACAATAACTTCATCACTACTCATAGCTGCACCCTGATAATGGAAGACAATTCAGATCTGTTCTATTCACTGGCAAAAGAAAGAAAATATTCAGTGGCTAAACATTGGTCTTGAGGCAGCTGCTGAGACTACAAACAACAGGCTTATGCAGAAAGCTGCGTCGTGATCTGGTCGTAATCATTAAGATATGCTTTCATCTAGGTTTGATAAATTGTTGGGCTGGGGAAGGGTGGAGGTGATTGAGTTAAAATGACTGGAGGTATTGATAAAATGTGCAGTTCTGCATTAACACAATAGTTACTGGTGCTTAGGCTCTATAATTTGACTTGAGTTCTCTTTGGATGATGTAACCAGTTACTCTCTGAAGTACTTACTACTCACATTCTTGTGAACATGTGCTCAGGCATACCAGAAAGTGTCATTTCTAGATTCCTGGCTAATCCCTTGCTCAAGGCAATGTGGAGCTCAACACAGAGCAGGGGAAGGAATTTCCCCTGTCAGATTCTAACTTCCTCTGGAATTCAGAGAGTAATCTCCTGCTAAGGTCGTTCAAGTGTGTTTCATAAGTGATTCCCTGAAGTTGCACTCATCATGAGTATTCATGGCATCTTAGATTTCCCTTCCTGTTTTTGTTTCCTTGGATATGCCCTCATTTTACCCGAGTACTGAAATGCTTTAATTTAGCTAAGTTTTTTTTATTACTTGATAATGGATGTATGTATATCTTTGACTTTAATCCTGTGAACCTGTGGACAGGTCTAGAGGCAAGTTCAATGTTTCTTTACACATATGCATAAACTTTAAAGAATCATTTTATTTAGTGATGTCACAACTTTAGGTAAAAAAAATACACCAACTTTATTGAAAGAATTGAGAGGATTTGAATGAATTATTTTGCATTCCTAAAATATCTTTTGAATGATATTCAGTGTGTATGGGTATAGAGAAAGAGAGATCTCATACAAGAGGTCATACTGTCTCATACTTCCTCAACAGTATGGAAGCATCTTGCCTTCAAAGTAGCTACATTTCGTTTCTGGCTGTTGTCTTTCTGTTCACCTACAGTGCTTTGCTGTCTCCTTGGTCAGCATATTTACACGTGTCCTTTTAATTCTTGCCAGCATCTTCTCTGAACAATCTGTTCCTTTTTGTGCAGGTGTATTCAGGTATCTGCATTGTGCAGACCAAGAGGAGATGGGGAAAACCGAGGGTAGAGGGGGGAACCTCGGAGCCCTGCCAGCTCTCAGAGCAGGTCTGAGTGGAGCCCAAGAACTGGTAGTTCTTTCTGCTTGACTGCTGTTACTCTGTGTCCAGCACTATTGGAGCTGCTCTTGCCTCACACATGTAGATGCCTTCAAGGACACAACCTTAAATGCTAAGGAAAATGAGGCTTATCCAGAACCTGGGCTTACTGATCTCCCAAGCAGAGAATGACAGAGACAAAAGCGCTTCTTGAAATCAAAGGAAAACGAAGTCTTACATTAGAAGACGTATTATGCAGTGTTGCAGTTACCTTCTTCATGTGTGGATTTTTATGCCAGGTGCTGTTTTGCGTTACCAGGAAACAAGCCTATCTTAGTGCTGACCCTAGATAGTTCCTGGGCTGTTTGCACTCTGAGGGACGCATCTCTGACAAATAGCAGCTGCTCAAATTCACTGCTGAAATCACAGATGATGTGTATTTCAGTGAGCAGTCATGCCAGTTCTTCTGCACAGTTTGGAAAGTTGCTCTGATCTGCTGCTGACAGACAGCTGAGAAATACGAAGTATCTTCTTGGGGTTCTCATTTTCTTTTAGGATAAAGTCTTTACCTCTTGCTTACCCACTTCAAAGCAAAGCTGTCAAAATTAAGGACAGCATGGCTCTGTGTTCTTAAAGTTTGCACTTAGCCTCAGCCTCCTTTTCCAAGGATCTTAGCCAAGGTAAGAGCAGTGTTCAGTGATTTTTGAGAGAAAAAACTTTCTGAGATTAGAAAGAGCCTGTGACAATGTCTTAAGCACTTTCATCTACTGGACACCTATTTAGTAAAAAGCTGATCTTTATTTTTTTGTGATTTTTCTTTTCAGTGCTAAACCAGTGGCCCAGTAGAGCGACAAAGAGATACTGAAGCTGTATAGTTATAAAACTTAGGCCATAGCCATTTCACAGACTTAATAACCATCCCTTCTTTCTTTTTCTATAGATAGGGAACATTCACATTCTCTCACATTTGAGTGTGGAGTTCTCAAGAAGCCTTTAAAAACTGTAATTAATAAAAGCAGTTGTTTTGAAGGTCTTTCTAATGGGTATCAATGATGACTACAAAGCTCTGAAGAAGATAGGATAAAATAAGAGACTCGTGTGGGTTGACTGATTTAAAATACCTTTGTTTAACAGTTTAAGTATGTGGCTTGTTGGCAATCCATTTTGTGGAGCCCTTCCTTGCTTCCTAGAAGTGCTAAATTTAGGAATGCAGTTAATGTGAAATTAAGATGCTTAATACGCAGCTTCTAACTACTGGACAAAACCAAGGAGTATCAGCTGAGCTGGAGGAGACTGTGATAAATGTAAACCGAGATATGTGGATGGATGGACTCTGCCAAAGAGTAGGTGAATCCTCAGAGTATAGTTTCATGCTTCACTTAACACAGTCTAGGTGTGTTGGCATTGCTGAAAGGGACTCCATCTTTGCTCTTTATATCAGATCACAAGTTTATCTAGTTAAAACAGTTCTATTTGTCTAGGGTGTTTTTTCAGCTGAATCAGTAGGTTTGTCTTGACTGACTGTACAGCAACTTGAGCAACAAAATCAGTACGAGAAAGGTGCTGGGTAAGAGGTATGGTGTATCCTAGAGGTAATAATCAACTGTTGGACCGACTGACCCTACATCTGCCGTGTATTTCCATATTTAACACGAGTCTGGAGGCAACAATCTGTTCACGTACATGTGAACTGTGGCATTTCTGCACGGCCAGCTCGGGAGGGCAGAGATCACTGCAGTGGTTACCAGCCACCTGTCCGGCCTTCCCGTCTGCTGTGAGTCACCACCCACGAGTGAGGTGACAGAAGGGAAGAAATGCTCTTGTGGAGCCGTGGCTGAGGCCAAGCCTGCGGTGTCAGTTTCTGCTCTGAGTAGGTGAGGGGTGCTTGAATACCTCCTGATTTACCAGCAGAGCATGTGGGCAGCAGCTGGCAATTGAGAGCGATGACGGCTGTCCAACTTATCTTGTTTCACAAAATCCCGAAGTGTGCAGATGTCAAAGTTCTGATTGCAGGTATTTTAGTTTTGCTGGTGTTATTCCTACATGAACACTTGAAAATCTTGGCCAAAGCTAGGCTTTTGACACTTAAGTCTTAAATACACTGGCACTAGTTTCATGGGTACATATTTGCAGAAACTGGTCTGTGCAAATGACAATGTTCAAACTAGGTCATTGAGTAAAGTGGAAAAGCAGCATGGATGGAGACTTCTCAAAGCTAGTCCTCCACTTCAGAGATATAAGAAATTTCAGGAGTTGTAATAATTGACAAAAAATGTGGTATGACCTCTTCAGAAGGTCTTTCCTGGCTGCAATGTACGAACTCTGATAGTTTATTTCCTCTGTGTCTCTCTGTAACCAGTAGTGAATTGATATGCATTTTCACTCTTGCAGAGGTAAAAGTTTGCCTGACAGTCTTCTGCGCCCTGTTAGAGACATGCAGAACCTTGCCTTGTTTCTCCTGTTGTAAGGGTTTGCATATTAGTGTGGACAAACTCTTTGTGAATTGGGTAGGAATTTCTGAGAGCATTAATTCCGAATGCATCTGGGTACTACAACCCACATAATAGATCCCCTGGAGAGGTTTATATTTCTGTTAGCATGAGTAAATTAGGTTAAGAACAAAAATATGCACCGATTTTCATTTTTAGAGGGAGTAGGGCAGTACAGGAAAACCATAAGAATAGC